ACTGCAGATACTGTTAGTATTTGTATTTTAATAAATGAATTCGATCTATCTTTTTAGTGAAAACAATATTTGCACCGTTTCAGATCTATTCAGTAAACGTCAACATTTTTTGCTTTGAATCAAGTTTCTGATACAAAAAATATCATTTTAGAATATCATGTTCCTCAGTACTTCAGCGATGAAAACATTGAGTATACTATACAATAAAAAAGAAATATTGATTCTCCCTGACAATGTTATTAATAATATTTAGCACACAGACAGAAGTAATCACACAAAACCTCTTTCAATATCTTCTCAATCGAAAATGATACTTTTTACAGCCCATCGAAAATAACACGGTCTTGGTAGTCGTGTCGCTGATTGGTCTAGTATTTTGAAATGCACTTCTAATTGACGAAATTCTGAATATCATATAAACACTTTTGGTGGATCACAATATGTTTTGGTAGAGATATGTTCGACTGATTTTATAACAAAATATAATAGAGTGCTCTTCATCTTTGACATATAGTGAACACGACAAAAAAGGCAGCTAAGATGCAATTGAATCGTGATATTGTTACGCATCATTAATCGCTATTAGATGATGATGAGAACGGCAAAGAAGAAAAAAAGAGTGTAGAGAAAAAAAAAAAAAGTAATGTCACGCATCGCGTCTATTTATTGATCGTGCACATGTGACAAAAAAGTATTCGATACAATATTGGGATGACAGACACAACACTGAATCAAGAGGCGTCGCCATATATGAAAGAAACGATCTCGACAAATGAACATTCACTCGGCAAACCAGCTGCAGAAATTCCAATGGGCCCACCTCCAAAATATGGTAAGGACCAGGCATGAGTTTACAACAAAGATTTTTGGAAATTAGACATACATTTTTGTTTCAAGATTTAGGTTTTACGTATAGATTTGGTTTTCAGGATTAAAATTTAGGGTAAGTTCTAGTTTAAGTTCAGGTTGTCTATCTTCAATTTGAATATTGATTATTGTAATAAAGTATTCTGATGCGACTAGCAAGTTTCGCGTAATAGCACTGGAGAAGTGCAATAGGAATTACGTTGCAACTAACTAGTGATTTTGTACTATGTAAAAAGAAAGTAAGATCTATATAATGATCACTTATTGGAGTGTTCGATTTGAGTTTTTCAGGCATGGAGTGAACATTTATCGGAAATGATCCTATTTGATTCAATTATATCAAAGGTTTTTCAGAGTCGAGGAATCCGAATCTATGAATTGTTGTAAGAAATTTCCAAATTTAGTTCTCTCAACCTACAAAGATCAGTTGTCAGCAATTTTAGTCAATGTTAACAACAACTGATTTTTCATGAAATAGATTTCTTCTGATCGATAAATAGAATAGAAAAATGTTGAGAAACTATGTTTAAATTCGGGTTTCTCGACCTCGAAAGCCTTTCATCAAGTTTTATCAATATCGGTTATATCTGCTAAATATTGTTTTGTCGAGCGAAAAAACCCAAATCACAAGCTTCAATAAATAATCGATAGATCTTACTTTCTTTTTAAGTAGTACAAAATTATTAGTTAGTTCCAAAGTATTGCTCAAGTCATTTCCTTAGTACCACGACGCAAAGGTCGCTAGTTGCATTAGAATATTTTCTTACAGTGACTACTATCCAAAGTCAAGACAGAACAATAGATTCAAAGCCTACAAATTCCAAAGCTCATCAAAATCTAGACTGATCTGAATCCTTAGTTCTAAAACTCAAATCAATACCCAAAACCATAGTTTTGGCATTGATGCATACCTAGTCAGAATATTGTGCAGTCGCAAGTCGTTGCAGGAAAGCTTTTATTCATCAGAATGCATTACATTAATAGACCATCTATTATTGTACAATTGATTGTCTTTTCAGTGTCGTATCCAAATACGTATGATCTTTCATTTCTTGAACAAACTCATCCGTATGTTTTGATTTGGCTATTCGAGACGAGTCACCAACATAATTATGAATAATTGTCGCAGGTTATTAGGGCGGTGCTTTATTTCTGTCTACTCTTTCAATCCATAGTTATTTATTTTCTATAAATGAGATATTGAAACTGCTGCTTCTGCTATGACGGAATGATATTCATTCAATGAAAAGTAGCAGATAGAGGCAAGATTTGTGTGTCAAAAGCATATAGAAGAAATATTCACTACTTGTTTTCAACGCTCCTCGATATGTTCAGTAAAATTTCTAGATAATAGAATTTGCACTTCTACATATATAAATACGTATACAAAGTTTTCTTTTATGGGTGCATGAACACAAAATAATTTTTGCTTCAGACTACATAGCGGACTATGAGTAACCCAAACTGGTATGAGCATCATTGAAACTCAGTTTTACTTTCCGGAGTATCAGCCTCGCATAGTGAGTTACTTCTGATTGTGTGCTTGTTGACATCTGGTGGAAGGTTTTCGAATTTCGTTTGATCGACATATCGGATATTTGGATAGAGTTTTCCTCAGTGTAGCATTTATTGGTTCATGAAGATTAAGCTTCGATCATCTGAACCCATTTAACTATTTAGTTACTTCAACAATTATCACTCATCTGTATTTTGATTAATAGAAAGTGTTCGAAGCGATTCTCCGTTGTCCACTCAAAATGTACAGCATGTAACGCAAGTAGTGACTGTCGTTCAACCGCCATTTGGCGATTTGCCTGTTCAATGCACGTGCTCGAACTGTCATCAATATATCGTGTCACGCATGGAGAAATCAAATGGTTTACTCGTATGGTTAATATGTGGATTGCTTATACTTGTAGGATGCTGGCTCGGCTGTTGCTTCATTCCATTTTGCATTGACGACCTGAAGGTATGTTTGCATTCTGTTATACATGCTTCTCATACTTATACTACCTAGGATACAACGCACTACTGTCCGAACTGTAATACAATGTTGGGCAAGAGAAAGAAACTCTGATTGGACAATTAACAATTGTCATTGACGAACAAATACTTCAATTATTATAACTTTTTCAATAGACTTCTTCCAAATCTCTTTCTTTTTGTTTTCCTTTTGTCTTTCTTCCATCTACGATACTCAATATTCTGCGTTACTAATCGTTGCGAAAGGTAGATTCATTTCGGTTAAGTTTTTGATCGAAATCTTTTAATTATATTCTTCCAATATCTTATTCTCATCATTGATACCACTTTTTCATTTTTGCGCTAATTTTCGGCTGCTTTTTTCAATATATCAATTTTATTCAATTTACAAATATTATATCAAAATCGATATAACTTTGAGCAAAAACGGAAGCCAAGAGATGCTTCCACGTAAAATAAACTCAGTATTAACTAGCACATATGAAAATAGCAACCCCGAAACATCATCTGAAGAAGAAATTAATAAAGGAGAATGGATAACTCCANGTACTATTTAAAGCGTTTCCCCCTTAACTGTCTTCAAAAGAGTTCTCGACATGCGTTTTGCCAAGAATAGAGTGGCGCATCTTTTAGAAAAAAATTTAATCTTGTACAATGAAAATTGAGCCAGATATTAGCGAAATACTGAGACCTTCATTTATTCTGGGCCACCCGTTATATTTCGTTCTCATAAGTTAAGCTTGAGTGATCAAAAACTGAACAAACAATTTGTCTGAAGACTTGCAACAGGGTTAATGTCTAGAACCTCATAATCTAATAGAATAGCTAGAATACAAGAAACTTGGAAAACATGTGTATTTATTTCTTTTAGTTCTCTTTTCCTTACGTGGCTATTCACTAGATTCAATTTTTGGTATTTAAAAAATCTAGAGTTCACTTTTTCATTTTTCATAAACCTATAGAATGAAATTCATGTCATATCAACAAAAAGTTTATGTGTACGAAGCGTTTTGAATAGACAAGTATGATGGCAAATGGTGTCCTCTACAATAGTTTGTTCGTCTTGGATGACAAGTCACGAAGAAGTTACATTACATTTTATCTTCTGTACCTTCTGTATTGACAAATCTCTTGAAAGAAGTAGAGAGAAGAACAGAAAGTCCATGTCATACAGGTAGGGTATGCTTATCTTTCAATAGAGAAGTATAATATTGTGTTTTAACTAATATGTTCACATAGTTTTTTTAAATGAAAACAAAATAACTCGAAGTTAAAAAAAGCTTTTAGTATAATTCCTGCAAAATTAACATGTGCTACATGATGAAATCACTTCAATGAACAATGAAAAGTTTCTCTAAATGATATCTTTATTTTAAAATTTCTTTTACAGATTTTGACAGACACAATAATAAACATATCTGCTACTATATTTATAACTGAAATGAAGATTACTTGAATATTATTAGTATTTATATAAAAGTGTATTGAGACCGTACTAAGAGTCATATTTTACAAAAATTTCGCATCAGCATGACGGATAGGTGACTTTTTTTCAGAATTGGAAATTGTAAAATTTTATCATTCAACAATAACGTTTCTTGTTACCTATTTTCTGAAATTTTACGTTGAAAGTTATGAAAGAAATATTTGTGACGGTCTCCGCTCAGTTTATTATATTAAATTATCTACTGTTACTTCATGGTCTCATTGAGTGTTCTTACATGACGTTTAACTTTCTCTCGGTCTTCCTTGTCAATACATGATATATTCTTCCTTCTTTCATAACTACGACTAGTTGATTGTCTACTATTATGACACAGATACCTTATCCTCAACCTCCTGTTCATTTCTCTCTCTTTTCTCTTACTCTTTCTTCCTATTGTCTCTCTTGTTTGGTTGCATATAAAAAAGACTTCTCCGTATGTAAATGAACGATTATTGATATGAAGGAGCTAAATAATAAAGCGCAATTCCATCCATACAAACACTTCTTCTATCCAAAAATCGTCCTAATATTCTTTTCACATATATCATTGAGTGATGCTATGATAAGAATGAAATCTTTCTCAGTCCGACATTTATAAATTTCTTTTAGATTAATCTAACAAATAAATATTTACGATGATAATTTCATAAAAAGAAATTCAATTATGACGTCATGGCTTGTATATCCATCGTCACCATCGGGTAATGGTCGTCTTATTGAGCTTGCCGGTATTGATTTGTGGATTTGTGCACGCATCGATAATGCATTTGTTTATCCATCTGAGTTGGATGTTAATCGATTCAAAGATGCACTTAGTCGTACTCTCGCAATATGGCCTTTAGTGTGCGGTCGTTTCCTCGTATTCGAAAATGGACGATATGTGATCGAAATGTCTGACAATCCCATTCCGGTAAACTATGCTGAAAACCATGAACTGACTAAATGGCCAAATGACATGAATATTGTTCTTAAACTTAATAAAAATTCACTTACCACATTTATTGATGAAGTACAAACTATGAAACTGATATCCGGTTCACGAGAAGAACCACTCGTTTATTTCAAACTAACTCGTATCGTACAAAGTGGTGAATGGGTATTAGGAGTAAGTTGGGAGCACTTACTTGGTGATGCTGCATCTTGCTTACATTTTCTAAACACTTTATCACGTATCTATCAACAATTGACACCACTCGAACCGGTACCTGTATTCGAAAGACGTCTATGGCGACAAGATGAAGCAGATCAATCTCTCTTACCTGTAATGAAGCAGTTACGTGATGCTTTAGCACTAAAAGATATGTTAAAAAAATTTATGGGCATACAAGAAAAGTACGACCAAGTGAATTTACATTTCTCAGGCGAGCAGTTAATCAAATTACGTGAATTAGCTGGTGGAAATAATATAACTATTAATGACTCGCTCATAGCATACATTATTGTCACACTCAACACATATTGTTATGAAAATGATGATCAACATCTTATTTTACGTACAAATATCACTGTTAACTATCGTGGGGTTTTGGATTCGATTGCTCCAGTCGGACAAATTTCGAATGCTATTTTCATGATGCTTTCTGATAATTTTGATGATCCATTTTCATTATCAAGCGTTTCCAAAACTATTCGTTTTTCAATTATTCGATCACGTGATCCGATATTTCTCGCGTCATGGCTTGCCACTGCTGATGGATTAATGAAAAGCATAACTCGTAATAATCTAACACCGAATGTAGGGTATTTCGCCAATGAAGTGACCGTGAATTCGAATTTTCGATATGATTGGGTTGATCTAGTCGATTTTGGTTACAAAGATAAGTGTCGAGTATTTACAGCATGGACTGGTCCTTTATATTTTCGTGTATTTCGATTAAATCCAGTAGAAGATGGTTACGGAGGTTTCAAACGTGATCAACATGGAGCCGAAGTTGCTTTTCTAATAGAAAAAGACAAGAGAGATGTATTTCTTCGTGCATGGCAGAAAGATATTGTTGAGAATTTTGTAAATGTCAAAAAATAAAAATATTGGAAGAATGTTCAAATATGTCTACACTTACATAGTTATTTTTAATCAATATTTAGTTTGCGCTTGATGCTTCGATCGATTGAAGGAAAAAAGTATTTGTGCTTGAGACTATGTTATCGTTTATCATTTTTCGCAGTGCAAAATTGATGAAAACGAAGAACTTTTGACGATTCAACACGAGAAAAATAAATTTTCATTCATGAAGGTTTTGATCTGATTCTCATAATTCAATAGAATTCTTGGTCGATTTCTGAAGAATGGAAAGACTCAATGCATGCATAAATCGTCTGTAGACACCAATCTGAAGTTTGGCGTGCAGCTTCTCTCACCGATAGAAAATAGTAAGAAGATGAGAGATTGTGATATATTTTTTGAAAGTTTTGGGCGAAAAGCACAATACATTTCGAATTCTCAGATGTAGATAGATCAGTTTAGGGGGGAGGGGAGACACAGTGTACAGAAATAGGGAGCCAGGAGCAATTTTTACGATTAATATAGCTAATAACTTTCTATTTTGTATAATTATGCTTCTCATTTGATTCTGATTATCTGTGCTTATTTAGCCTCTTCTACTGATAAAATTCCTGAAAAGTAGGTTATTCACTGAATTTTTCAACAAAATCCTGTATTTTCCCCTCAGGTCACATGGAAAGTTGACTTTTTGGTTTTGGTTTTGAAACTTTGTACAAATAATGCTTTCAATGAAAGTAGCTCATTGTGAAAGTTTCAGCCTTTTCCGTTGTTTCTGTCGTGATGTACTGACAAATCACAAAATTCGCTTTCTCACACAACAAATTTTTAAATATCCGTATCTAACGACAGATGCAACGAAAAAAGCTGAAAATTTTACAACAAACTAGTTTCATGGAAAGCATTATTTGTATAAAGTGTTAAACCAAAACTAAAAAATTAACTTTCAACGAGATCTGAGGGAGAGTACAGGGTTTTGTTGAAAAATTCAGCGAATAACCTATTTTTCAGGAATTTTACGAGTAGAAGAGGCAAAATAAGCACAGATAATGAGAACGGTATGGGTCTGGGCGTGGTTGATGATGTTCTTTCTTTCTTCATCCACACTCACACCTGGCCTGTTCTCTACTTGTTATAATCAAACTGCTCATAGTCATCTTACTAAAGAGGAAATGCCCTCATCCGATTTCAATGATTATTTGTCTATAGATGCTACATAATATTTTAGTAAAAATCTTAAAAATATTCCAGTTCCTATTGAAACTTGGGGGAGCTATTGAATTTTTTAAAGGTTCGTGTGAACCCTAGGTTTCTGAAAAAGTTATATTTTTGAATCTTGCTCATAAAATTGTTTCTTCTTGAAGGTCTTAAATACAATATTTTGCATGAAAAGTTTCGGAATTTATAAACTTTGTACTTTCCAGTTATGAAATTTTCAAAATATTTTTGTATTATTGTCCCTGTTTCGAAAAGCGTCTATTTTTGAAAATTTCACAACTTTCTGTATGTAAGACTTTCATATAGAAATAATTGCAAGAAAGTGATTTAAAAACACAACTCGTCAGGAAGATTCGAGCCCTACGCAGAGCTCTGGTAAATATACATATTAAAAATTCAATAGCTTTGCCAAATCTCAGTAAGAACTTAAATTCTTTGAGGATTTTCATTAGATTACAATAGAACATCTATAGACACAAAGAAACATTGAATTCGCATGCGGGCAACAGGTAAGGTTCTCTTGCTAGTAGAAGCAAAAATATAGATACTTGGCGTAATAGTTTTTCAAGCTTTCATAGTATCATTATAGAGAAATACTGAAATAAAATCAGTTGTTAATCTTAGTCTCATCTACGCTCTCGTCTTAATTGTTTTGTCATTATAATACATTACTGAGGATTTTGAGTTTAAGAAACGTTTTCAGACTATGGAAAAGTTTGTCATTAATAAATAATTTCTTTGTTTTAATTTAATTCTTGATGAAAAATTGCTCAATTAAATGATCATTGATCAACAATGAAACAAACTAATGATATTTTAATAATATATCGAAACAATCATCAGAAATTTGTTCATGTTCAATATCACATGAACATATTGAACATGAAAAAGAAAAATAGAATCAATTAATTAATGATTTTTCAAATAATGAAATAAAATTAAAAGAAAACTTTTAATCAACATTATCGAAACGAACTTAAACACATGTCAAAACCAATTAGAACAAGTTATGATGGAATTAAATGAATTTAATTGAACTTATTCGAATATTTAAAATACATTTAAATCTTAAATATTTTGATATTATTAATTTAAAACAAGATTATACTGATATTGAACAGGATAAACAATAACGAACCGACAAAACAGTCCAACAAGATGAACATGATATGGATGCAAATGATAAAACAAATATTATTGAAAAACAATTAATTAATATTAATTCTAAATAGATACAAATAAATGAGAAAAATTCAAGAACAGTAAGCTTATTTCTAATTCACAAATTTGACTTCAATTTCAATCTTTATTAAAAATAATATTTATTTAGATTAACAAAATATTTATCAACTGTTTTTAACATATAAATCGATTATTTTCTATCGAAAGAATTGTTTTGTCCATACTCAGAAATCCATTCTAGAATACTTTTTGTTTGTTTTATTCATTCATATTCTTAGATTTTATTCTTTGAAATAAGCATATGAAGACATTTTTAGAAAGAATTATCTTAAGGCTTTTTATTTTCATTTATAGGTAACTGACAGATTCATATCGTCGATTAACTGAGCTGGAATCGATCATCAGGTTTTATTTCATATAACCGGTAAATGGTGATTCGCTTGTTTTATGTAAACATGAATTATTGAAAGCTTGATATTATCATTTCTAATATATTTGTTACAGCTGTATTTTAACTCACATCACCTGAAATGGAGTTCTCATAAACCAATTATTACAAGAATTCCATTGAACAGATCTTTTCTATTGACTTCTAATTTATCAAGAAAAAAAACTTTTTACATAGTCTGAACATATTATTGTGATGTATTTTTGAATTTCATGGACAAAAATTAATTGCATCGCCTGACTCCATTGAATTATTTCATTCAACATTTCAAAAAATCTATTGACTAGTTAAATGAAATTGAATAGGGTGTGGATGTGGTTGTTCTCTAAATCCATGCCCACACCTTGAAATCAAAGCTACTTGATTCTGCGTATCTGTATTTCCTAGTCTCAATATTTATTCTATATTTCTTTTATCTTTTGATTTTTCGCATTATATAGTTAAGAAAAAACAAAAAATTACTCATGCTTTGAGGAAAAGTTCATCTGTTTTCATAGGTTTGTAAGTCGTGCTATAAATACGAGTTTGTATTGAAATGTTTTCTATAAAATAGTATCTCTATATTGAAACGTAATTTTTGTCGAATGTCCACGTTACAAGGGAGGTTATTCCGCTTGGCAGCAACGGTCAAAAAAAAAACGGTTGCTAGAGTTTCAAAAATTGATGGTACTAAAAAAAACAGATCTTTTACCGATTAGCAAAAGATTGTGTTACAATATCACCAAAAGGTAATTTTGACAGAACAACATTAACATCAGTTTTATGAAATTTTTCAAGTTTATCATAAAGTATTGACAATTCAGTATTAACCATATTTTTGATAGCCCTATGTATATATAAATATAAGTACCTTCAATAAAGAAAAATTCTATTAAAAAAACAAACAAAAGCTTTACCACAACATTTTCAACACGAATTTCGCCATTATCATGCTCAGCTTTTAATTCGAGTTCAGTATGAAGTAAAAATATTTGAAGTTTTAAAAATTGTTTCAAATGCAATACCTGCAGCAACAAGCTGTGAGCCCCAATCACTTACTACTTTTATATAATTCACTTTAACAACCGGTAGTTTCCAAACAGCTGCAGTAAAATCATCATTAACAACTTCATGTACATAATGTTCACACCAAAATCAATTATAATCTACAAAGAAGGAAGAAAAAAAAACATAAACAGTTATAATATAAATATTTCAGTTTTTATTTGCGAGATGTTTTTTGTCCAAGTTTATTTAAGACTCACCCCCATGTCAAAAATTTATTTTTGTCCAAGAACAACCGATCTTGTTGAAATTTTCAGGAGATGTGTATCTGAGCCTAGAAAACTTATAACAATAATTTCAGACCAACGTATTGGACCATTCAAGAGTTATCCATAAAATAAGGGCCAAAAAGTAGGTCCCCGTCGGTCACAGATTTCTCCCGCAAATTTAAAGATACGGATCTCGGGTTGGCATCAAAATGTAGCCAATACCTGTCACTACAATTTAACAGAGCCCGATTTTTAAAATTTTTCTTTGTTAATTTTTTTTGGCAGTTGTTCTAAAAAATCAGAAAAAATAAGGGGTACGCGTATGAAAATGTCTCATTTTTCTAAAAAAAATTAAGTCCAAAATAAAAAATTCGGCTCTGTTAAGTTATGAAGCACAACTTTCTAGAATGTAAAATAGCTGAGAAATCTGTGATGCACAACTAGGAAAAAAAAATAAAAAACTCGTTTGAAGAAAACACCAAAACAAAATTTAAAAACTCGTTTGTTTTTCATTTCTGCATTATCAGTAAGTCTTGAGTAAAATTGTGAAAAACCGTCAGAATTCCGATAAATCATACTGTTTTCGAAAGTTGACAATGATGGCTATCCAACCATATAAAAATCTCAAAATCGATTTTTTTCTGGCGAAAATCGTGTTTTTTGATATGGGGGATGGATCTTAAACAATTGAATAGACAATCATTACCTTTTTTTCACAAGTGATTGAACTGTTGAATTCTTCTATAAAAGTGTTATTTGTAAAAGATAAATGTTGACCAGTTTTGCTTTAGGATATAAATGGTAAATTGAATTTTATTTCATGTCGGACCAATGAACAGTTTAAATATATAACAGAATCATTCATATCAGCGAATATATCGATGGAATCTTTTGTCGATTAGTCTGTTCCGATCTGACTTCACGTAAACAGTTTCGATACTGATATGAATTGTCAAGAATTCACATCTGTTCTATGTCTGATATATTATATATGCTTGCTTTCCATTTTCTGTTCTAGACATCACAAGAACATCTATTTTCTTTCTTCTTTTGCACGAATTTCTTCTTCATCTAAAGATTTGTTATTTCCATCCATGAATACCAAACTATACAGATATTTTCAAAGCCACGAAAATAACAAATGTAGGTTGAATTGAATGTATAGACTACTTATTATGAAATTTTATGATCAAATCATTCTGAGACATGAAAATCATATTCATTATACAAAATTTATTAAATAAAGTTCTTTATTGTGTAAAAATTTGTTGTTTGTTTATTATCAACAGTAACATATCATCAGCTTGAACATCTTCGAAAAAAAACGTGACCATTTAGAATATAGGCTAAAATGTCATATTTCGTTTTAATCGTTCGCAAAGAGTTTCAACATTTTTTTTTCTTTCTATTGAAGGTACTCGATTAATCAATTATAATTGTTCTTGAAGATGAAATGATGATTGAGATATGGATCTGAAAAAATAATGACATCAAAATAAGTGAGTGATTTCATCGAAGAAAATAACAAATCGTTCTGTTCATAAAAAAAACTGACTTTAATCGAAGATCTAAAAACTGAATCAAAACTATGACTGAAAATTATCACAGTTACGCGATGAGATATACCCACGATGCACAAATCAGAATTTTTATAGAATTCTACTCTACAATAGTAAAACACAGATCTAAAGATCAATAAGCAAAGAATAAAACCAATGAATTACAGAAATTAAGGAATTTATAAAAATTCCATTAATGCAATAGAATTCTATCGCTTAATAATATCTATAGAAGTATAGATTTTTCTTTTACTCTTGATTTCTAGAATTTTCTTGAATTCTTAGAATAGTTATGAATTGCTTGATTCACTCTTGCCTGTATTGATGTAGAGATGTTTGTCTTATTGAGTTCTGAGATTTCTATAGAATTTCTAGATCGTGAGTATTGCTGGAAACCAAACTGATCCTATCTCTGTTAGTATTAAACTATCGATGACTTAATCTCGAACATTTTAAGCCTCAAAGTTTCCAAAATTGAACAGTTTTGTTCTGTTTAGGGAATAGCATTTACGCTTCAAAAAAAACCTTTGTTCAACTATCGGAAGCTTTGCAACATGATTAATTAATTCTAATTTTAATAATGATGCTAATCTGACACTGTCAGTCTTTGGTTGCTATACTGAAAATTAATTTCTTGTTTCACCATCTGATACAATGAAGAAAGAAAAACATGTTTTAGTGCTTATTAGCACGTCGCATATTCACATTAATGTTAAGATATAATCATGTTTTTTGTATACATGATGGATGAGATTAAATTATTGAGAAGAGAAAAAAGAAAAGAATGAACTCATTTGAAAAGAAAATCATGACAATATAGATAAAAAGAAGTTTTAAAAATTTTCAACGTAATTTTTCTTTTTAACAATGGGTTTTCATGCTTGGACTACGTGCTTCCATAAAATCTGAACCACCTTGTAAAGCCGTAATACTTGGAATATCATCTGTATAAGAAATATGTTGTGTTAAATTACAATACCATGTATATGGTCCATGTTCTCGTACAAGGCAACCTTTTAACCAATATGAATCACATGAAGTTTTAGTTAATTGTTCTAATTGTGCACATGTTGACCAAATAAGACGATTTTCTTTTGTATATAAAAGTATATTTCTTTCATTTAAATCCGATGGTATTGTTATACGTTTTATTTTACTTCCACGTTCACCAATTTCTAATAAACGTTGTCGACGACCAAAAAATTCCATATCAGTTTTCCATGCTGTTTTTGTTGATGGAAATATAAAACAACAATGATTAATAAAGCGTATTTTTTTATATGATGGTATAGGTGCTGATTGTATATATGATCGAAAATCAACACGTAAATCACTTTTAACTGGTTCAAGACTAACAAGAAGAAGTTTATTTGTTGACTCATGACCAAAATATTCTCGACATGTACTACTACGACGTCTTCCACCTGTAAACCAACTTAATGATAAATTAAAAATGATTAAAAAATATAATAATATAAATAGTTTCATCGTTGTGTTTTTTTTTTTCCTTAATAAATGAATTTTATGCGAACACTAAACATACGATACAATGAAAAGAAAAAAAAGAAAATGCTAAGCAAATAACGAATAGAAAAGAATATGATCAGAACAGTTGTTAGCAATTATTAATAGTAATAGAATACATAGAGAATCTATATTCACAAAAGAAAAAAAAACACAACAACACTACAAACAATTTGTCTTTCTTTGTATTTTCTGTATCCTATGTTTAGATGATACCACTTTTGCGATTACGATTTAATGCTTCTGCAATATAAACCACAGCATCAATAAAAGCTATAACTGCAGCAATAATGGGACCTAAAACAAACGAAATTTTTTTAATTAAAAAATTAAAATTAAAAAAACAAAGAATTCTTACTATGATGATACGAATGATTAGGATAAGTGCTATATAAACGACTAGCTACAATAGCAGCACTGATACCAAAAATAATTAAAGCAATAGCAGCACCAAATGCATAAATAATGCGAAGTCGGTTAAGTGGTGATACTGTTGCGTCTGTAATTAATAATTGTTCAATGAGAAGAAAACCAGTTAAAGCCAATACTAATTTTATTTAAATATAATAGGTAACAAAAAAAAAGAATAAGTTAATATTCAATTTTAACTTACATATAGGAAATATTATTGAATAACCCATTCGATATGTATACCATGTTGAAATATACGGATAATTAACATGACAATGAATAACACCGATAACATTCATTACAGAAGCTACTGCCATAAGAATAATAATTATGCGTCTAAGATCAGCCATTCTAAATTCAATAAATATATTTTTTTTTTAAATTTTCAATATAATCATATTATACTTGCGTTGTTAATTAAAAATTTTTACTAGTAAATGTATCTACAATAGAAGACGATTATTATAAATATTTGATAATGACTTGTTTTTTTGACTTTTTGGAAGTATATATGTATTGGTTTCTTTACTATACTTTATTTATTATTCACAGCACACAAATATAGAATGTTAGAGCAATTCTAGTAGAGAAATGGAGTCTTGTTTCTCCTCGTCTCGATAGAGATACAAATAGAAGAAGAAAAAAAAGGAAGAAATCCACCGACGCAATGCTCTCTTTCCTCGCACACATTTTATTATTGCTATTTTTGTTCTGTTGACGTTAAGAAGAGATATCTGCTTGATGATGGATAAGCTACATATACTGAAAGATGACGCTAGAATTCTTTGAGAAGAACAGAAAAGAACAGGCGGTTACTCGAGAAAAAGTGTAATCAGTGCATATCTATACATGCTCAAACGGAATAACACATATAATAATATCGATTATATAACTTTTTTTTGTCTTGCTTTTTCTTATACAATTGTAGTATAAGTTGTTGTCAACAAGATAAATAATCATTGTTGTCGCTTCTAATGAGAAAGTATAATTTAAACAAAGAAGTAATGATGTATACAAATAGATATGATAAACTAACTTAAGTAGTTAGTTCGTTAGATATATTTATTATTGTTAGAAAAATGTATCGGGCGTCATATATTCAATATTTCTCCTACTAAAACCAAGTTTAAATTAAAAAAATCTATGGTAATAAAGAAAATATTAAAAAAATGATTTTCTCATGGTGGTACTAAACCAATGAATAAATCAAAATATATGTATTAGATTATGAATATATTCATGGTTAATTAAGATCTTACAAGAACTATGATTGATAAAATTGTATTTAAAACATGATAAATCATATAATTTTGGATATAATTCTGACGAACAACGACTCATCAATTTGTTCATTCATATGTTTCTTTTTTGCTTTCTCTTGCTCTTCACCTCTTATGTGCATGTACATATAAATAGCATTGTTCAAGTCTTTTGTCTGTTAGCCATTGGCCGGTCAATGATTCCGTGTCCATCTGTTTTTTCGATAGATGGTTGTATAAAGAATAAACAGTAGATTCATTTTAGTTTTTAATCATCAACTGATTCTCATTTGAAGAAAAAAATTGAAATTTTTAAGAAATATATTTCTTATATAAATTGTCATAATTACTAGAACAATGTGTTACTATCATGTCACACTACTACTATTAGACCATATTGAAAGCATATTACTTGGTCAATGTCTTTCATCATTTTTGTACACTGTTCTATTTTATCATGTTTGACGAATTAATCATTTGCTTTCTTGTTTCTTTGTTCTATTCGTCAGACGTAGGGAAATTTATCATTGATAGAATATTATCTTTGTTTATAGGCGGCACATGTACCTAATCTAAAATATTTTCATCCACAAAAAAAAATATAGATCGAAATAAATTAACTGTAATTTAACAGTACATTGATTAAGAGCATGAAATATTCATGTCATAGACTTTTGACACATTTCTAATAAAAGACATCTGCATGTATCCTTGAAAGACGTTAATAAGCATAAGCTATTTTCTATGATAAACGATGCATGGTATAAACATTTCCTATTGATACATAGATTGTTTTGATATATATCCTTCGGAAATGATGTGAAATACAATAATTAGTCTTCTGTTAACTTGTTCTGTAGATTATTTGAAATAAAGACGAAATCGATGATCTTCGTTATATTTTTTCTTATTTTATGTGGTATTTGTAATGGTGCTCAAAATATTTGTCGATTCCCTCCACGTTGGAAAACGTATCATTGAAAATCATTTTTTTTTAATATTTGTAACAACTTCTTTTCTTTTTCTCAGTCAATATGATTTCGACTATAATAAAAAGCAACATGAATGGGCAACAGTTAATTCTAAAACAGATTATTATAAATTAGTACTTTCATGGTCACCATCATTCTGTAAACATTTACCATCATCTCAACGTAATCATACTTTTCAATGTCAATATGATGATTTTGGTTTGGTTGTGTAAGAAAACATAGGCATTCGTTTTTGTTTTAATTTGTATTTTAAGACATATTTAGACATGGTCTTTGGGCACAATCAAGAACTGCTAAAAGTCTTCGACAACATCCGCGTAATTGTCGAAATTCAGAACCATTACCTTTGAATACAGTAAATATTAGTTTCTTTTAGAAAATGATAATCAAATGAGACAAACTCTTAAGTGAAACGATAGATCTATTTAAAGAAAAACACTATTTTGTTTTGTATAGACTTTATTTTGAACATTTTCACAAAATTTACTGATAGCTATTCAATCTTAATCCAGAAGGAAAATCTGAATATATAATTAGTAATAGCGAAAAACTTTGATTCTAGCTAGCTTTAATCAGCTGTCTTTTAGTGGCCGAAAAATGAGCGAATATTTTTGGCCAACACTTACGTACTATAGGTTATTATGCATAAAAAATTTATATAATAATGACTAGAACTTTTTATCTGTGATAGAAATGTGCGCCGCTTCTGATGGTGACTAAAAAAACTGTTTTTCGTCAATTTCTACCTAATATTTGTTGCCCTATAATGTTTCTTAAAAACAAGCACTTCATTTCTTGACACTTATCTAAGGAGAACAGCAGAAACGTCGAAAAAAAAACCACAAAAGAATATTTAATTAGGCAAGATTTTACCAGACATAGAAATAGTTAAACAGTATTCGTTTCCCTCTTAACTTATGTTGTAGCTAAATTTTCGTAAATTCATTTACTTGCTTCTAGATTGCGATCGGTGCCTATCTTTTCATTTGTTTTCTTTTAGATCAAACGTCATTTTTGTATGATGCCCGATGAATCACTTATTCAAGCCGAATGGGAAAAACACGGTAAATAATTCCATAGAACAAAAAAAAATCTAAGTAAATATTTTTACAAAAAATGTTTATTAGGTACATGTAGTTTTCGTACTGCTGAAGAGTATTTAAATACAATTGAGAAACTTTATACAGCATTAACAATACCCGATATGCAACAAATTTTACGTGATAAACGTATTGATCAATATAAATTAAAAAAAGCATTTTTAGAAAAAAATCAATCTCTACGTGCAAATCACATTGTTATTTACATGAAAGGCACAGATTTAATTGATATAAAAATATGTTATGATCTTAAACTTAATTATACAAATTGTTATAGAAAATAATATATAAGACTTCATTTACTGTTTGTTTGTTTTTCTCTCTTGCTTAGTATTATTTTTCATCTACTATTCATTTCTAAATATAATGTGCACCAGTGCTTTTTGAATAAATTTTAATAGAAATATCATAGAGATCTGCGGTTTTCATCATTCAGCTGAGAAGACTCAGAGCCATCGCAATATATTAAAATTTGATTGGTCAGCCATTAATTAATCACGTGAGTTCTTGGCGAATCATTTCTAACTTGTTCCATTCGAGAGTTATACAATTTTTCTTAAGTCCTGAAATCTCAGTCAAATGACTTGTGATCTCTCGGAAAATTGGCAAGGACAGTGGTAATTCACTATGTTGAATTGAATGGTGATATTTGTTAGTTTAGATTCGAACTGATTTGATCACCCTTCAACTCAGCACAACGAATTACCCATACCTAACTTCTTTTCTGAGTGATTACAGGCTGAAATCGTCGGTCTCAGGAAAAATTCTGTAACTCCCCAATGAAACAACTTAGAAATGTCAGCCTTGCGTAGGTCGTTCGAAAATATTCACCAAGAACACATGTAATTAATTAATTGCTGACCAATCAAATTTTAATATACTTCGAATGCCCTTGAATGATGAAAGTTGCAGGTCTCTATGATGTTTCTATCGAAAAAATTTTCAAAAAAAAAAGCAATGGAATATGTTATACTGTGAAATGGAAAGTAATTTAGTCATTTATCAAATAAACAAAGAAAAACAACTGTTCAAACAAAAACACAAAAAAATAATATGTCATATTAATCACTATCATCATCACCATCGTCGTCAATAATATAATCAGTTGAATCAATTTGTTGTTGTATTGTTTGATCATAATTTTGCATTATATCAATAAGATAAGTTGGTGTCGGTAGATTTGTTGATAATAATTGTTGTTGATGAGACTGTTGTGTTTGCATATTAAGAAAACAAAATTTGATTAAATAATTATTAGAACGTGTTGGATCACGTATCAAACCAAATGCTTGATCAAATATTCCAACGCATGTACCACGTTGATGTATTGTACCATGAATCTGTAAAAGTACTAAACCATGTTTTGATTCTTCAGCTTTATTTGATTGTATATTTGGACAAAAACGTAATTCTTGATTAGTAACATAAGAACGAAGAAGTTCACATACATAATATGAACCTAATATTCGACGTTGATTTTCATGTATAAGAGTTAATTGACAATCGGGAAAGAAATGATCAGATGTAAATGTTGTAAGAGTATTCCACGATGTATAAAACCATTCAGTAAATTGATGTGATAATTGATCAATACTCGGAATTGTTGTTATTTGTTGTGATACATTTGTTGTTACAGTTTGAGATCCAGTATTCCAAAATTCAATTATTTGTTTGATTAGTCGGACCTAAAGAAAAAATATGAAGTTAATAAGTTTAATCGAAAGTTACAATTAAGAAATCTTAAAAGATTATTTCGGTTAATCAACAAACAAATTCATCTTACAAAGAAAGTAAGATAGTTATCCTTTATTTGAAAAGCTAGTTGTATCATTTTGTAGAGCACATCGTGATGCATGGAATGGTATGTAAAAAGTTGCATTTCTATCAAGTTTTCATGTTCGAAGAAGTCATACATCAGTAAAAGGATACTTTAACAGTTATAGGTTATATGACCGACTACTAATAGATGATCGAAAAATAACTAAACATGATGCTCATTGACTTTTCGGTCTCTTGAAGAAGCTTGCAAAAATTTGAAAACATTGGGTTGAAATCAAAATTTTGTGTTCTTCCCGAATATGGGTTTAAAAATTCTGTATGGTTTCTCGTTCACAAGTCATACAGAGAATGAAAGAGCAAACATTTCTCTTTAACATGGTATAGTCGGCTGCAAATCATTTATCAACAGTGAGTATATCGAGTAAAGGAAAATCATGTCAATTTAGACTATTTTCTTGATTTCTATGAAAAACACACTTCTAAAGTAAACTCGACCACTCATTTCTAAGACTCTTGATTCATTTTATATTTAAAAAAAAACGGTAATATTACGTATCTCGTAGTGTAGACGATACTGCAAAAACTATCAGAATTTTCTTTGTCCAAACTTCTTTTTTGCATCTGTAAAAGTTCGATTCAAAATTCTTCTCAACCAGAAATCCTAGGAAAGTTTTGAATCTATATTTAGTAACAACGAAAAATTTGATTCTAACCCAATGTTTTCTAATTTCCGCAGGCTCATTTAAGAATCTGAAAAGCTAATGAACATTTCATCGATATATAACGCAGTCCGATTCGATGAAAAATTAATTCCTATTATTATAGAGCTTGATGACACATAGTTTCTAAGAAAGTTGCATGATTGATTCCTTTCACCTTGAGGAGCAATGTCGAAAATTTTAAAATATTGTAAAAGTCAAAATGTATAGAAGCTAGTAAAATTACTAAGGCTTTGAGTACGAAGAAAGCAATTGTGAGAATTATTAGATAAGCATGATTGAAGATTAGAAAAATTAATTTTGAACGAAGTTTTTGATAAAAATCACTTCGGAAATATATGAAGTGATGAAAATGAAATTTCGTAAACGTCATCTAATACGTCACGAGTTACTCTACAAAATGATATAGGCAACTTTTTAAATGACGGATGATCATTCTATTCGATAGGATCTTTACGAATAGTTTTTTCCTTCAACATTCAGTTCAACGAATTTTTTTCCGAGCAAAAAAGTCGAAAATCAAATATCTCTTTTAAAAAGTTAAACAAATTCGATTATTATTCACTAGGCTAAGATTTCACCCTATTTTAAAGAAATAATACGAAAAAAGTTGAGTTCATGAACGATTTCTGAAGATAGTGGTTGATATTCTTAGAAATGGATAGTTCGTACAAAAACATCTATTTATTGAATTGTCAAGAGCACGTGTAAAATTTTTTTTTACGTGAAATATAAAGGTTTTTTGAGTTATAAGAACTTCTTTTCTTTCAGAAACATTTGCATTTTAATTTTTTTGCTTTTCTAGATTTGTCCTAAAAACTATGTTTGATGCAAAATTTGTAATTCAGACATTATTCTTTTCAACAAAAACAAAATACCGGTAGCATCAGAAGTCAATAATATGATATAGGGGTGTTTGAGATTTGTTTTACAGATTTTTCACATCGCTTTATTTATATATAGACAACACTTCATATTCTTCCTAATATTTGCCTATAAACTTGAATTCTACTGAGATGTTCATGACGTTAGCAAGATGATCCCTCAGGAATGAATTTTGTTGCATTTTATTAACGTTAAATTTCATTCATTATAAGCAGTTAGATAATTAACACAGTTTTCTTTTATATTAGGTTTTATATTGAATAATATGTGAAAGTGTTTTGACCTTGCTAATGTATTTTTCTCCTTGTCTTATATCTAATCCGGAAATTAGAAAAGAACGATGAGAATAGTTTTGTTTATCTTTATGATCGCCTTGTTTAAACTATATGAAGAGATTTTTTAAAATAATAAAAAAAAAACGAAAATTTATTTTGACATTTATGTTAGAAAAACAAAAATATTATTTTACAGTTTATATACATATATATGAAGAAAGAGAAGCAACTTAGAATGATGATTAATATTTTGCCTCAATCTATCTTCCCAGAATTATTCTACAAACCGTAATCTACATTTTCCTTGAGGCAATTTTCTATTATTTTTTCATCAAAAACAAAGATATACAAATAGAGTTAATTTACTCACAGGAAAAAACGAATATAGATTCTACTTTGATGCTGACATTAAACAGAAAGAAAAACTTGTCAACACAATTCCTTGAAAGGCTAATATATAGAAATCAAATGTGTTCTTTAGCATTATTATACACTAATACAAAATACATTAAGCGGAAAATTACTAGCAGACTATAGTTGTTTTCCAAGAATGATCGATCGTCAGAGAAACGATCTGTCTTATTTATTTCTACATTTTGAACAGATTTTTTTTTTATCGATACTCTACTTTTTTTTAACATGTTGCTATTCATTCTCATCTTCAATTATTTTTAATGTAACTGACACGAAAAGAATATAACTCCGTTGAGATATTGAATTCTCAAGTGAACTCGATTTTTGTGACAAAAGACTATTTTGAGAAACTCAATATATTGACGAAGAAACATTCTTTTCAACTGAAACTTTCAAAATATTCTAAGAGTCATTAGACCTATCCATAATTAAGACTTTAGATCAAAACTCAATGATTTCAGTTTCCGAGAACTATCTACAAAAGAGTCGAAAATTCAGAAAATCGAGTATAAGTCGATGTTAAATATCCATGAGCGCTAATCTTTTCAGACTTTTTCTAATCTCATCGAGAACTCCTTCTGAATTCAAAATAAGAGTCTCATTTGTGGTAGTTTCCTCGTAAGAAAATCTGGAAATGTAATTTGATGTTTTTTTTGTCCTCAATAAATATAGAATAGTACGCAATGATCATTGACCTTCTCTCCTCTGCTTGTTGTTTTGGGGAAAGAACCGTAAAACATCTACTTAATATTTTCACTTACAATTTATTTTCTTGAAAAACAAAATCTGATTTTCAACAAAAATAGACTAAACGAATGAAATTATTTTTCTTCCTTTCACATACCTTATCGGTACCTGCAACAACAGGTATAGTTTTTCTAGCTAAGTATTGCATTAGAATATCTCGTCGAATTTTTTTTCGTCTTAATAATTGCATTGCTGATTGTGAGCATTTCAGACAAGCATCTATAGCTTCTGAACGCTAAATCAAAAATAAAAATATATCCTAGAAAAAATTAAAATTTTTCTTACAGAATTTGCTGGCATCATGGATTTTGTAACAGTATCTTTAACTGACATTAATTCTTCATCATTCAACATTGACAGAAGTTCTTGAGCTCCTATTTGTTCGTACTTATTCATATCTACAAAATAATTTTTATTGAAATCAAACGAATGAACAAAACAAAATTCCTAAAATATCTTGAATTGTTATTTCTCTTTCTTAAAAAATATTCAAACAATAAAATGTTAATAACAAAAGAACACTACGAAAAACCAAAAAGAGATTTTTTTTTTCCATAAATCGTCGAATAAATATTTGTTTCGTTTTTTTCCTCCGCCCTTTTTTTTTTTTTTTTTAGTTCGACAAAACAAAAACAAAAAAAGAAACTTCATAAGAATAAAATAAATGACACAACCAACCGTCATCCATAGTCAAAATCTTTTTCCTTTCTTTTCAATATAACAAAACTATATGAATGTATGTTTTAAAAAGAAAAAAAAATTCATAGAAGTAAAGCATCAAAATCACAATTGTAGACGAACATTAATTAACATAGAATGAATATCAATAAATGAATGAATGCAAAAAAACGAAAAAAAAAAAAAAAACGAAAACAATGTTCACGCATTATTGTCTGTCTTTATCTTGAATAATAAACACGATAATAGAGTGTTTTCGAACGCCATAATGAATAACTATTATCAAATTTAAGTAAATAAACTCCATTGCCAGGATATGGATGACTACCAGCATAAATTTCTTCATGTGAATCACGTCGAAATATTGGAACAATTTCATCTTGATATGGTTTTGGTGGTTTATTGCTATTTCGTGAACCTTTTTCAATATCTTTTTTTTCTTCTAAAATTTTAAATATATTATTTATTTAATATTTTTCTTTTGAATACATACGATTAGTACCATCTTCACCTTCATCTTCTTCATCTTCACTAGAATCACTTACATGAACAGTGACAGTATTCGATTGGACTTGACTCCATTCAAAATAAAGACCAAAACCAATATCATAATAATCTGTTGCAAATTCCCAAAAAATGCAACGACCATCTTCATGTGTTGGAACACGTACCTAAATTATTTTCTTTCTATATACATAACTATATATAAATAAATATTTTATCATACTGTAACTGTTTCACCACTACCAATTTTAATAACAGCATCTTTTTCTTTACGTACAGCATCTTTAAATTCTTTAATATCTTTACGTGTCCACATACTAGCTGGTGCTAAATTTGGATATTCTATTTATTTAAAATATAGAAAGAAAAAACAAAAAGTTAAATTTCTTTTTAATATAGCATTGAACAAAAGTTTCATCACCACGAGATCTTAGCTACCGTAAATACAGATAATCAGAATATGTCTGAACACATAACTCCACTAAGAATGTAGATTAGAGCCATTAGTTTGTTTCGATTGCTTAAACACAATGAGAACTATGATGAATTGCACTTAGATTTCCTTTGAACTCTATATTTCTGAAAAGAAAGTCGATCCCTCATTATTTACGACTATTCACGCTATTAATTTCATGGCAGTCCATAAACTCTTGCTATAATGGTGGTCATTCTATTGTGACAATTCGAATGACGAATAACTTCCTGATGTCATTTTTAGGTCGTAACTCAGCTGTAGAGATGAAACCGATCATGAACAATCCAGACCAATTGCATCTCTGCTGAATAAATCGAGCTCAAACTTTTGCCTTTAGTTGAACATTATTACCTAGAAGATTTAGAAAAGAACTTTCTTCTAAAGGAAAGCAATATATCAATAATCAACGTGTTCGTGCCGAAGACTCAAAGATATCCGGAGACTGCAATCTCGTAGCAAATTACATGATCTTTTGAACGACGAAAGTTCATGTATTGCGCTTCAATTGTAAATAAAAATACCAAGAACTAGTCATGTATATGATAAAAAGTAGTGCAATATTTAATAGAGAATCTTTTCAGATTAAAAAGTTTGAAGCAAAACTCGGCATCGTTCATCATAATTTTCCAGACGTCCTGTACGTATGGAAGCTGAGATTTTCTATGAAGACTTTTGTCCACTACTGTACATACCACGTGTACCATCTTCGCTTGATAATTCATTAGTTGGATTAATAGTAACATCATTATCTAGTGGGTGATCATCAATTGATTGTTGTGCACCACTATATTCATTGTTCATTTGAACGGATGGAAATTTTTGTTGAGATAAATCGTTACGAGCAGATGGTTGTAATGAAGCATTGAGAGAAAGAGATTCGAATTGAGTTTGAATAGGAACAGTTGGTTCTATTTTAGTTTCGTCACTGGAATTAGTACCATTAGCAAATGATTGAGGTGGTGGATGAAGTACAGGTGGAAGTTGTGTTGGTGCAGAACCAAGAGGTTGCATTTGATTAATAGACGGTAACGTTGTTGATTGTTGTTCCATGTTTGGTTTCTATAATTAAAATAAGATTAATCGATGCTGTTTTTTTTTTCCTTATAAATCTTACAGTTCGACTTTGCTGTTGTTGATTAAGTAATTGTTGTTGATAAATTTGTTGCATATATTGTTGAAAATGTTGTTCTTGTAGTTGACGAATTAATTCGTCTTGCTGAACATAACGAAAAAATAATAATTCAAAAATTTAGAATATTAGATATTCATACTGCTTGTCTATTATCTTTAAATTGTTGTTCAGCGTAAGCTTTAAATTGTGGATAAGTTTGTTGATTAAGAGCGTCTTGAATTTGTTTTCTAAAAATGAAAAACAAAACTTTTCTTAAATGATTTTTTTTTTTTTGATTTTGTTAATTACCGTTGAAATTCTTCGCGTTTCTTTTTTTGTTCTTCTAAACGTGACACCTGTTCGAGTTCGTATTGTTTTACTCGTTGAGCTTCTTGTTCTAATAAACGACGAGCTTCATCTTCCCTTCTATAAAAACAAACAGACCCAAATTTACATACAAATGTATAGACATTCACAAGAAATGCCAGAAGACTGTTTTTTTTCTTTTTTGTTCTTCTTCTTCTTCTTCAACTAATATTAGTAGAATGAATGATTCTATTCTGGACTCACCCAAAAAGAAAAAAAAAAGAAATGACGTATTAGCATATGGTACGCTCGATTCTTTAATACTATTTAGAGTCAATTGGGCAAAGTGATACAAAGGAGAAAAAAAGAAATTCTCATCTGTTTTCTTTTGTGCATTCATTTTAAAAAATGTGATTAGAAAAACATAGCAAAAAAGAACGAGAAAAATATCGAAGTAACTCTAGTCCTAGAATTTTTGACGAATAGGAAAATAAGTATACAAGCTTCGAGTTTTACATCTCAGCATGCAACTAATACTAGAAATAGAGAGCAAGAGATAGAAAAAGAAGAAACGGAAAAGACAGAAAGAACACAACAAATCCTCGTTCTTTTACGTGTCTAGCTTGTTATTCGTAGATCAAATCAGAGTGCGACTGTAATATTAGGTTCGCGCTGTATTGTTCTATATTTTTTCCTTGTTGTCTCTCTCGTTTTCTCTTTCTTTTTCCTCTCTTTTTTTTCTTCCATTCGTGTTCACTAGTAGGGAAAAAAATGCAATCGAATAACGATTAACAGAGAAACAACAACCGCCAATGACGGTAAACGTCAGTCATCAGATGACAGACAGAAAAGAAGAGAACGGGAAGTTATAGTTTAGAAGAATATTGAGATGTTAACCATAGTTCAACGAAGTATATGACAATATTGATGAAAAGAAAAGAAAGGAAAGAAAAAAAGCAGAAAAGTTAAAATAATGATTGGCATTGTTATAGACAGGTATGAAGAAAAAAATAATAATAATCATAAATAAAAGTGTCGAGAAAATCGAAGCACCAATCGAAGAAATACAATCAAAATGTGTCGAATCATGAAAGTATATTATCCTTGATACAAAGAAACAAAAAGACCTCTCTGCTGACGTAATCACTTTTTTAATCTATGAAAAATAAAATAAAACTGATTATTATTATCATTGATTTACTTTAATCGATCTTTTTCTTCACTTTCAACATGATGTGCTTCTAAATGAGGTTTAAACATTGGACAGCGTTCTAATAATAATTTAATATATTCTTCTTTTGCTTGTTCTTTTGACATGTCTCCTAATGCAATCCATGCTTGTCTAAAATTAAAAACAAAACCAAACAAAAAAAAACAAACGTTATAAATAAAATTGTTGCTTTCTTTTTTGTCTTCTTATTTATTTCACTTACTTTCGATCATTACCAACAACATCAAGAAGACCAACATTTTGTGTATATGATGCATCCCATTTGCCAATTGTTGCTTGTTTCGATAAAGCAACAAAATGTAAATTTTCACCATATTTTAATTGCATAGCTTTACTTCCTTGTTTCTCTATAAACAGAAAAAAAAAGCCAAATAATCGAAGTGGGAAAAAAAAGAAATTCATGTTTTTATTTTTCTTCAATAAAATTTTACCTTTAAGAAAATGTCGAGCTATATCAAATAGATTGTCAAGAGAAAAACCATATTGTTCAGTAAGAGATAAAGATTGATTTTCATTTGTACTAATATCACTATTATTTGTCATTGAAGAAGACATGGTTGTATTTATATTCGGAGCAACAAAAACTATTTGGCCGAAACTATTATCAGCAAGTATTTCGTCATAACACAATGGCATGAACAGAATAAATCTGTATTATTTTGTTTTAGAAGTTTTAAAACTAAAAATTCTTAAGAATAGTCAATAAATTTCGTTTTTTCTTTACGTAAGGTATTTGACCGACCACCTGTCTACGACAGCATTTGAGAGATATTCTAATGGATAAAAGCATATACCAATGATAAGAATGTCACAGGGAGGTTGAATATCAATTGTCATGTCGAATAATTTATTTTGATTGGTTGGTTTATTTTCGAAAACGAGCAGAAAAAAAAACATCGTGTGTTTTTAATTCAATGAACGTTTGAATAATGGCACAATTATTATCAAATGAAGATGAAGTTTTAGAAGCATTTGATCCATCAATTGCAGCTTCAAAACGATTTAAGTATGTTTCAACAATAGAGGTGTAATTCAGCACTGAAAACAGAGAAGTGCGCTAAAAAAAATGACTACGTGGACAATTTTTAGAAGTAGACGAATGTCATGTCCTTGAGTTTCATGAAGACATATTGAGGATAAATAAAATTCATAATTTTTGGATATTGAATGAGCAAGTTCTAATCGTTCTTTCAGCCATCAGAAAAAAAATCTTAACATTTCAAAGCATTTTGAAAGTTATAAATATTTACAATAGAAAATATGTGATTTTAAACATTGACGAGTTCTTAAAATTTCAGAATTAATTTTTTTCCAATTTTAATATTTGTTCATGCAGCTATAATTATGATAGTTTCATTTTACAAATATTACGAAATACAATAGTTAGAATTTCTTTATAAGATTACATAAAATGTAGAACAAAACTTTTCCGACAAAATTTGCTTTTAGTATAACTTACTTTTGATGGATGTTTTACATTAAAAGTACAATCAGCGTTTATACAATACCCGAAGAAAATTTTACGCATAGATGTTGAGTCATAGTGGAATCAGACAAATAAACAATCTGGACAAGTCAAGTTTTATTGGATAAAACGTTTTGGATGATCTTTAAAATTAACTAGGAAAGTTCCCTAACTGATAAATCGCTTTTGAGGGATACTGCACTTTCACAGTATATTTTGAATGAATGTTACAGTAAAATAAAAAACTGATTTTCGAATTTCGACTTGAAACTTTGAATAGAGACAAGTCTTGACGAAAATAGTTTCTTGTGAAAGTTTCAAATCTTGTCGTTTGCATTGGTCATGTACACCGGCATATTGGGGTGTTTCTATTTCAGGATAGAAGCGAATGAAAAGACTTGAGACGTTTAACAATAAACTGCTCTCGTTAAAGTATCCATTAAAACAACAGCTATAGTGCAGCAAATGAGCTAAGAGTATGAACTTTTTTCAGAATATTCATAGCTCATTTCGGTCTACATAGTGCAAGAAGTAGTCTCGACTCAAAGGCGACTTATCAGTAGGAGCAAGGAAAAGCAAACTAATTCCTTTGATTTATGATTGTTTCTCTGATTTCAGGTAATTTCTATCAATGGAAATCAGTTTTTATCTGTTTACCGTGAATAAATGGGAACCATCAGAAATACTTAGAAATGAAGGAAAATCACGAGAAACTATTAGCAATCAGAAATAACCACTAGAAATGTTAGCAATTATTGAAGGTCAAGAAAATCAATAACAATCATCAGAAATCAATAGAAATCAGGATTTTGCTTTTAATCTTATCACTGGAGATTTTCCGATAATTTGTAACCACTTCCAGTTATGATTCATATTCTTAAGGCGTTATGATGATTTCTAACATAGAAGTCAGTATTTTTCGCTCTTGTTTCTGAAGTTATTCTAAAAGAAAACTGTACTCATATCAATAGAAAGAGTAGAACACGAGCTATGTTTTGATCCCTAAACCTTTTTAAAAGTAAATTATCTAAAACTTGGTATGCAAATTTAATGACAAGTTCGTCTTAACTCTTTATCATTTTTTTTTCAAAATATTGCATTCGAAATTTTTTCGGGCACTCGAACTCTTTTAGAGAATGATCCTTTGAAAATCGAAAACATCTTTTGGGAGATTTCAAATTATTTGCCAACTTAAGTAGCGTCCGAAGATCTGAGCATATTACATTATAGACAATTTATTTTTTAAAAGTTTTAGTTACCAAAATATAGTTCGTATTTTTCTCTTTCCATTTATATGGATACAGTTTGTTTTTTCAAGAATACATCTAGAAAAATATAACTCATGAGGAAACATTTCCACATGTCGAATAATGTTTTGCTTGAGATTATTGCGATTCGATCAGCCATGGTGAGTAGTAAAAAAAAAAAGGCTTTTTTGATTTGATTTTTCGACATCGCTTGTGAACATATCCCGGCTAAGATATTTACACTTAAAAAAAACAACTGTTTTGGGCTGTATTTAAAAAGACGTTTCTATGACAACCTGATGCCTCTACATAGGTACATTTATCCAAGGTCAGACTTCGAGGTATCTATAGCCAAAATTTCAGTTCAAAAAGTCGATCATCCAGATTCTCAATGATTGTATGCTTATAAGGAAAAAAGTAAAATTGAATGATAATAGTTTCAAGCGAAAAACGATTCAATAGTTAGGAATGTCTCTTCATTAGTTTGAAACATCATCCAAAAAATTTTGTTCCGTGTTATATTTGAAAATAATGAATATACGATTAAAATCTCTTGAAATTTATGTTAATGAAACTATTAATAATAAATTCGACAGACGTCTGCTTTTGTAATTGAAAATCTCAGAGAAAATAATTAAAATCTAACATTATTCTTTTCGAAAAATAAATGAATTAACATTATTTTTTTTAATATCTAATTTAGGCACCCAATAGCTGTCTTTTTTCATATGGTATTTCGTTCATTGGCTATAGTTGCTTATTTTGTCTGTTCTTGGGCAAAAGCAAATTTTGTTACATCATTTGTTATTATAATAATATTACTTTCAATGGATTTTTGGACAGTAAAAAATATTACAGGTCGTTTATTAGCTGGTCTTCGTTATTGGAATTATGTTGATGATGCAGGAAATAATCATTGGATATTTGAATCAAAAAGAGTAAGAAGATCAAAGTGTTTTCTTTCTTATTAATTTGAAAAAATTTGTTTATTTATTTTTATTGAAGGGAAATGATAAAAATACTGTTTCACCGATTGAATCGAATATTTTCTGGCTTTCATTAGTATTTACAATACTTCTATGGATGATTTTAACTATTACAACATTATTTTCTCCAACATATATTGTAAATATGTTTTTCTTTTTCATTTATACAAAAATAAAAATTATTTAATGATTATTTAGATTATTACAGGCGTAGCATTAGCATTGAACATTACAAATCTATACGGTTTTGTTCGTTGTAAAGTACGAATATAAAATAACGAATTTTCTCTTTGTTTATCAATAAGAAATATTTTTTCTTATTTTAGTTTGGTTCAAATGAAAAAATATCTGATGAAATGAAAAAAACAGTATTTAAATCATTTCTTTCACGTGTAACTGGTAGTGGAGGTATTAATCCAACTTCGACTGATACTCAACAGCAGCCGACAACGGCTCGCACAATGTTTGGACCTTAGAACATTCTCCTATTGACAATTATATTTTTAAAAAAAGAAATTTTTTCCTTTATTCGTTTTCTTTTGGATTTTTATTAATATGAAATATATATATATTGTTATTGATGGTATACAAGGACATGTTATTGTTCGAGAAGTAATAGAAAAACAAACGGATTAAATGCTTGTTGTGCAGCATAACATTCTTGATAATGTTTTAACCGAGAATGCGGCACTCACGTTGATGTCGTGTCCCAAAAAAATTTTGAAAATCAGTAGATACTGCCTGGCGATTTCAAAAAAAAAACATTGTAAATTCATCTTTCATGCCCTTAGAAATTATTTTTTTTGCGCTTCTATTCACTATTTTTTTTCTTTACCACATGCTCGGTTTTACCCTTGATGTTTCAAGAACATGTAAAGAGACTATTGTATTGGTATGATAATTTGTTCGTCAATGCTTTGTATACAATATGTCGTTTATCTGAGTCAAAATTTCGGCTTCTTTTTGCATTACTTTTGTTTTGATTATCAATCTTGATTGTGCATATTAAAAAAGGAAGACAAACAATATCATTGGTTTTATCTTTTCGGAGCACATATTTATACGTATAGAGTCGTCTAATGCGGTATAAAACGAGACATTGCCTTTTCTTTTTCAGTGCGTTGCGTAAATAAAAAACGAAGACAATGTTGTACATTGGTTTTGTCTTTTTTTTAATATTATACTTATTTAAATAATGCTATATTCAGGGTTATTTAGTTGGTTCATCAGCACGTAAATCAACATCACTATTTGATAGTGATTTTGCATCATGCTGTCAATATTATAATTATACGGAAATGTTGTGTGATGCAAGTTATTATAATCGATTGGTTATAGTAGAAAATTTTTATTTTAGTTGCATACTTTTTAAAAATTGAAAATATCTATAGAAAATAATTTTTTAATTTGTGTTGGAAGCTACAACACTAAGCTTCATTTATTTGGCGTAGGTGATGCTATGTATTTAGCAACAATACTCAAGGTACAGAAAACAGAAATTCTATAGAACTCCCAGATTTTAACACGGCAACCATCTCTACAACGATACGGACAAAAAACTAATCAAGCAATTTATAATTTATTGTTAACCATTAGAATTCTATTGCATTGTTGGAATTATCAAAAATTCCTTCATTCTCTTGAGTTCTTGTAATTCATAGACTTCTAAGGATATTTATTGATCTGGAGATCTGAGTGTAACTGTTGCAGAGTAGAATTCTATGCAATTTCTGATTCTTGAACCGTGGGTATATCTCTCAAACCAATATTTATTCTTGATTTAACGAAAATAATTGATTGAAATACAACCCAATTCAAATCTTGTATTTTTTATCAATATGAGTCAACCTGACTCTGATACTTTTATTAAAATCAACCAAATTAATCAAAATTGTTCAAATTTTAATATGCTAATTAACGAATATCCAGAATTAGTCTTTCGTTTTTTTGCATTGTTGTATATTGAAATTGTAGCATAGAGCCCTGATGATTGTTTATATTTCTATAAAATAACACGAAATGCGTTGATGAATTGAACTCTGGACTTCTTTAATACTTCTAATCAAAACACACCGATTTATTATTCTGTTGCTATTTAATTTTTGACTTAATTGATTGTTGATAAGCAAACGTTGAGACTAGTAGATTAAATTTCTCTTTCCTTCAAGAGCTAAGTTTATTTGTGTTCGCTAGATTTATTCACACACTAAAATACATGTTTTATTAAGAGAAAAATAAAAATAGTACAGAAATAATGTGCAAAAAAAGAAACTGCGATACAGATCAGTCATGGCTCTTGGATCATTCGATACGAAAACTAAAAGCAAATTATTTCCAAAAAACGTGCAAATCAGACATGTCATAACGTCCATACACCAGATAACGACGAGCTACAAGTCACGATATCCAACAAAGCAAATACCCAACTCGTTACATCAAAGTGCCTCAAAATCCTCAAGTTTATATAGATGTAGATATCGAATTAGGTATCCATCTGGTTATATCAAAGTGCCTCAAAATCCTCAAATTTATAGATATATGGGTATACCGTGAATTCATTAAGCGAATATCCTAATAGCCATGTCGTGAATCTCGATATCCGAGTTATGGATATTATGACATGCTTCTTAAAATTGAAAAAGATACCGAATAGATAGAACAACTGATTACTGTTAGTTTCACGACCATTACCGTCAGTAACCACAGTACCGTTCGATGCACCTGACGAGTATTGCATCCCACGATGATTTCAACTATTACCGATGTGAAGTGTGTATAAAATCGAGTCACGTACAATACCCCATGGACCAATAAGTTCACTAAACTCAGATTGATCAACACCTGAAAACAAACACATAGTGTATCAGAGCACAACAATATTTGATGATGCTTTCGAAATGATATCTTTCGCAAAACAGGTTTTCAATTCATCAAAGTCATTGTAGAGGCTTATTGGATAATTACTGTTTCCCGATGTTTTGCCTATGCAACGAACTAAAACTCTAGTAATTTGTCACTACTAAGCTATTTTTACTTATTTTCACGATGTCCTTTCGATCTAACGAGCATTGCGGGCAATCGGTATTCCTGTTCTAGAATAAAAATATATTTTCAGATGTACAAGAGAAATTTTAAACTGGTCATGAATTAAGAAGGACGACTCACGAAGGCTACTTGTATTAAAACTTGTTAATGTCAAAAAGGCCTGATTGATAAATTAAGTCAAAGGAAAGATTTTTATCCTGTATAGATCTTCGTGTGGGAGTTCATCTCCACGGTTGACAGTCATTTATCAGAACGAAAAATACATTGTAACAATTTTAGATTCACTGAAAAAAATGTTCTGTTTATCATGATCTATATGACTTCCAATTTACTAGTCTTATGATTTAGCTATTTTGTAAGAATAACCATAAGACTTCATGACATGAAAAAAAAATATTAGAAGATCTACAAAAAGCAAACTTTTTTGTACATGATGTACTATGTCAATATATTTAATGATTCAAAGAAGAGTTTGCATTATAAGAGTTAGTTTTGGTGCTCCAGTTATATATATCATTCAAACTGTGGTACAATAGATTCTCTCTATAAAATTCAAGATAGTTATCGCTCATACTTGATATAATATTATGTTCTTTGTGTTATAAGAACATTTTATTTGATCCCTTGAAAGTTAACGAATAGCACATATACTAAACACTGACTAATTTCCTCCATGTTTTTGATGAAAAAAGTTCTAAAAATGTTTTTAGTCTTTTCCAAGTTCAAATCAGTGATATTTAAGGCTGAAAATGATTAGGATTTTGGTTTCTGTGAACTGTGTAGATTTTCCAACGGTTTAGATTAAGTGATGTGCATCATCATACGTCGCTCATTGAAATAATCTATATAGGATGAGGTTGGATATCTTGAAAAGAAAAACCTATTCATGGACAACTATACTTCTAACCTAGGTGAAACATCATTAGGATTGCCGAAAAAAGTAATATGCTTATCAACTAAGTCTTCATTCATCCAATCCTTGGTGAAAAAGATATGTAAAATGATGAGATAATTACTGATTTGGAAGCCTTATAATGCATGAGTTTATTAGTGCTTAAAAATGATTTAAATGGTCATTGCCAAAGATAAGAGATTTCGGATGATGAGAAGTATCCTTGTTGAGGATCTTGGTTAGTTTAGATTGAGTCGTTTTCAAAACCTTATAGAAAAAAAGAAAAAATTGAATGCTGAATAATTTTCAATTTTCTAAATAACAGATTTCATCTGTCGGAAGTACCATTAAAAGCTACTACTTATCGTAATTTGGATGAAAAACAACTTTTTTCCTAATAATTGACTCTTTCTTAACGGCTAAGTAAAAATATAAGTTTCAAATAATCAAAATTTCCTTAAAACAAGCTCAGTGCTTTTAATTGTCTTTAATGCAGACTTTTTTAAAGATTTATTGTCGGCTTTTTGTGATCAGGATTTTTTCTGTTATACAATTCTGTTAGCGAAAAACCGAATTGTTCATTATTTCTCTCCTCTTATACTGTTCCTGAACCTTTCACAATAGTTTCTCAACAAACAATATGAAATACTACTTACTTTAAAGAGAGAATTGACAAACATGTGTTGTAGTTCATCATAATGTTTGCATTGAAGATTTCCAGGTATCCATATGCACGCGTAACTATGATCGTGATAAAAAGTCCGTGCATAATTAAATCCATGAATATTCCAATGCCCATGAACAGACATTTAGTATGGATTTTTCTGAAATAAAAACACAGAAGAGATGCATCATTCATTTCCGGATAAATGCAAGCGAAATTGTTATTAATGTTGAACTGACGAAATAAGCTCTTCAGGTGAAAAATAGTTTTCCGACTGCAACTATGGTCATTTTATTTTTCACAGAGAGAGGTATAATTTCTTAAATTCGATTGAATCTGTGAACCTTTTGAGACTGAACTATTAGTCTTATTTCACTTGCTTCTCGAACTGTTCTAAGACATTATGGAAAAGCGAGTGAATTGTTTTTTTTTATCAGAAAATTGACATTTCGACAGGTCTCACTATTATCAAAATGTATCTTTCCATCTCGAGATATTAGGTTTGCTAACAATTGCTATTTTATAACAAAAAAAGGTGGAAAAACTTGGTTTGCTTGAAAAAGCAATCCTTCGAAGAAGCATTCGTTTGAATGGAGTTTTGCGGCAAAATTAGGCAACGATGAGACCTATCCATATGCAACAATTCAGACCGAAAACATGACATCCGGGTTTTTTCTGAAAAGTTTTAGAACAAATTTAGGCGCGGCCAAAAAAAGCCCATAACTTAACTCCAGAGGCCTTGATATTCAATAGAAGCTACAGCATTATACAACTGACTATGATCGATTTAATGGCTACAGTGCCGGTTGAGAAAAAGAGTTTACACTTGAAAATCTTTGTGATCGATAGCGAATTAGCGTATTAGTTGTAATGTTGGTGAAAGAAGCTTGAACGAACTTACAGTTACTCGATTGTACCCATATTTTTTTCACGTAAAATTTCCATTGACATTGCTTGTAATATCAATGAAATGCTGTTGACAGAAGCTCTGAAATCAAAGTTGTAAGTTTGATTTCTAAAATGTGCAATTAGCTAGAAAAAAATTGTTTCTTGATTTTCGCAAATATCACTTGACTACAGTTTCTTTGTTGGCTCCTTGCAGTTTGATTAGCTGATATATATGTATATATCTATGTATTGGACGTGGAAGTTAAAAGGCAGTAACAGTATTCTGTTAATGTCTTTTAAAGTTTTGCTCACTAACGTCTCGATAAGTTTCAGGAGGAATTTTTTTTATTCTCTTCAAGAATAATTTAAAACAGTAGATATTTTATAGCAAGTGGAAGAATCAGTATAACAATGTTTTACAGTTGCAACATGTTGAAATTTCTCAAAGATTTTTCTCAAAAGATTCCGACTAGTTTCTGTAGCCCGACAAATTGTGATACAAACGGTTTGCATAAATCAGAGGCTACTCCTTTTTTTGGCGAAAAGTAAAGTCAGTTTCAACAAAACTTTATTTTGATTCAAGAAAAAGTTTTAAAATATGTCGAAAATTGAACAAATTTGGTTTATTCTTAAATTTCATTTTGAAAGAATAGCGTAATCAAAGTCTGAAATTTTTTTGTAATGCGTCATTCATGTATCTTTAAATTAAAAGTGAAAATTAACGTAAACGACTAATGGTTGATTGATGAATGAAAAATTTCTCTACTGTATTCGAACTGTTGTTTCGGAAATACCCTTTTTATAAAATTTGCAAAAGTTCATGGTTATTCTATAATAAGCTTTGCAATACAGAAAAAAATGGATTGAGGCTAAACAATAGAGCCTTTCAACTCTACAAAATAGTTTCTATGCATTTTTAATTCCTCGCATCACTACTTACTAACGAATAATCGAAAGAAACTTGTCTTTTTAAAGAAACTTGGCTATGTTGAAGCTTTTGAATATTAGTTTTTGTTCGATTATTCATAATTGCTACGTGACATAAACTATTCTCCGATTTTCTGGATGAAAATTGAATGGAAATCATTCAAAAGTAGTTCAAGTCTTAAACAATGAAAAATGAAAGAGATATTGATAAGATGTTAGCAGGAATATTGTATCGAGGCTACCCAATAGTAATGAGGTATAGTGAGTAGGCGATTCGAAATAAACTAAAGGGTTTCTTGATCTATTAGTAGTAGTTGATAAAAGGAAAAAATGAGAATTTTCACTCATGTGTTCTTAGTTTCATTCGTCTGTTACATATCAACATCATCAGTTATAAGCAAAGAAGGCATGTATTTCACTATTATTTCCGGATTGCATGGACAACATTAATAGATAATCTCAGTAGGGATGACATTTTAAGTTTGTTTGAAACTTTAGCTATTTAATTAAAGTATTATTAGAGTTAAAATACCACTCTTATATCTGACTGAAATTTTCCACTCATTAGAAAAATATAGTCGGCCATTTCTGATGCTAGGCATTGTAATTTCTACAAGCATTGTTATAGTGATTTCTACAAAATTCTAGACAAGAATAAATCTGTCTTTACTTTCATTCAATACCACTAATTGACCGTTAAACATTGTCTTGTATTATAGTCTTCTTCTGATCATATTCTTTTTTATCGATCATACCTGAACTCTGCATTAATGAATAGGTATGACATTTTCCTGTTAACTTATTTTAAAATCAAATTCTTGTCAATTTAAATTCAATAAATGAACTGAACTTTTTTAGAATTTATCTCTGGATTCAATAATTTTTTTAAATGTGAATTGATCATCCCTATTGTCAAAATACGTGGTTTCAAAAAAATTAAATAAGAAAGAAATTGATACCATGTGTTGAAATCTGATCATCATAATAATGATTCCGTATAAAATAGATACGATTCGTTCCTGTTGTTTTCTAATGACACTACAATACTCATAGACATATGTTTGATAGAGCACTTTCGAGATAAAAAATTTCTTTTATTTCTAGAGGCGACTAAGTAAATTTTAAATTAACTTAAATGCAATCTAAATTAATTTAAAGTTATTTAGATTTAACCTAAATTAATTTAAATCCGATTTAAAGTAATTTAAATTTTTGCACATTTATTTCTGGATTTCGTAACATTTTTTTAAATTCATAATGATTACGCCCATTAATGAACAACTGTATATAGCAGATACATAAGTAGATCAAAACACAAAGGAAAAGTGCGAGTTTCTGATTCTAGAAATTTGGTATAGATTTTTGCAATTAGAGCTTTAAAAAAAATAAAAATACATCATTTGAATACAAAAGGACAAATAAACATTTTCTTAGATGACTATTTTTCAGATCTGATGGAACTTTTCCTTCATCAATTATCTCTGTCTTTACTTCATCTACGACGTTCTGACTCAAAATGACTATTTTTCACATAACTAATGTCGGATTTTTTTAAAAGTATTAACGACCATTTTCTGAATAACTTTTGATTACTTTGAGTTATCGAGCTGCGGTTTTCACCATTCAAAAGAGCAAGCCGGGGGCTACAAAATCCTACTGATTTTGAATGGTCAAGCAATTGACCAACCAGGAGAACTTTTGCTGGACAGTTTGTGAGCTGCCTCGTGCTACTAATTTTCGTTCAATTTGAACTTTCAATGATATTAATCGATAGAGAAAATNAAACAACTTGGAAATTAAACAAGTCTTCTAGCGTTGCGATCGTTTTTCCATAAAAACTGTGAATATTGATTTACAAGTAAACAGATGTGAAACTAATATTTGAATCATAACTCCATACTATATCAGTCGATAGAGCCCGGGTTGGTGCTTGCGATCACAGTTTTTTAAGCTCTATATCTGGTAAAAATTTCGTGGAAAATTGTTGAAGTTATGAGGAAATATCACACATTCAGGGACTTATGGCCAGTAGTGTATATTCAAAATACGTACACAATGTAATGAGTTATGATTTGAGTTTATTGAAACACACTTAACAAAAAAAAGAACGCACCTAAATTTATTGTGAAAAAAAAATTAGATCATGCCAGTTCTCCTATTTGGAATTCTATAGCTATATAAGTCGTATCGAATTTCGGTGAGATCATCAGAATAATTCTTCGAAGGAGTATTTAGTTGGATAACAGACATATTTTTCTATAAAAAATTTCAATGATATACAATACTTGAATTGTGAAAATGTGGAAAGATGCATTTAAGCTAACTTTTGAAATTGATATTATATAAATCATTATGTTATCACTCAGCTATATATTCTTCTAACTGAATCACAGACAACTTGCGATGTTTTGATTGATATGGTTCGCTTAAAACCATAGAATATTTAACTATAATCTTTATTTACGGCCCTATTCATCTCTACACACGATCAATTTTTACCAGAAAACTTCGAGTTTGTTGAATCATGAAAACAGAAATATGATGTCAAAATTCGATAGTTGATCTCTTTTCATTTTCCAAGCGTTTCATGATTTGATAGTTTCCGGAGTTGTCCTATTTGAAGCCAGACCAAAAAAAAGAATAGTTTAGGAAAGATAATATGAAGGTCGAATAACTGATATTCTTAATCTTATATACGTATTTTCTCATCACCTTATTGCAAATAATACTTTCTATATCATTGACTTTTATAGAAAAAAAAATATGTTATTCAGTTGAGTATTTAATCAAAGTATTATTCTAATGATCTCATCCAAACATATAATTCTTTCTCGTTTAACTTAATCGAAACAATTCTAATGAACGGACACCTTCTAAAACTGTAAACACCCAAGTTGCAAAAAATAAATATAGAGTTCGAAACGAATATTATTCGAACACTAATTATAGACTGAACTTTTTTACTTTCAACTGAAATATAGCCTTTTTTTGTGAACACGGACACCCACGTTTACCTTGGTTTTAGTTGTAACAGATAAAGATAGTTACCTTAATATTTATTTGTAAAACATCTTGTATAATTAAAAATCAAAGCCACCATGAATTGTTCGCGTTCACAAAAAAGATTATATTCCAGTAGAAAACAAAATGTGTAGTTCAGAATGAGTGTTTGTATGATACTCGTTTGGAATGATATATTTTTTCGCACTTTTAACAGTGTCCCCAGTTTTTACAGGCACTCTCGAATAAATATGTTAAATTCGACATGACAAATATATAAATCATGCAAAACTCTTTATATTATCGTAATAATAAGAAAGAATTCAATACTCTGAATTTTTTAATAATAAACTATAATTATGAAGATCTTTAACTAGATAAATTTTTCAATCAAAATTCAAAAGCAAAAAAATCTTATGAATTTTTTTGATTAGCTTGTTATTACTTATTTTTGTTAAATAGAAACTTCGTTTTTTTCCTATTTAGTGAAATGACCATGGCATTATATCTTTCTGTTCAAGAACAAAATGATTTAGCAGATAATATTTGGTTAAATACAAGTACTGGATCTGATTATATTGCACAAAGTGTTGATGAATTCCGTTTGGTTAAAAAGTTAAAGCAATCTAAAATCAATTTATGGATTAAATTAATATGTATTACTTTTTGTTTTCTTCTAATTCTCTTACTTATACTTACACTTATACTTATTCTTAATCAAAAATAAATATACAAAAAAAGAAAAAACAAAAACAGAAAAAGAAATCTTCGATATTTATACATAAGCTTCCCCCCCCTATAAGTTCAAAGCATAACCCAATAGAGATAATATATTTTTTATACTCAAAAAAAAACAAAAAACAAAGATCGAAAAACAATTATACAGATACAATATTTTATACAGATGGAAATGATCCATAGTAGGATGGTATTTGTATTAAATTAGCAACAAGTCGATCAATACAATGATCTGTTTCATCATCAATAATTGACATAGATGGGTAATAAAATGATAGTTGTGGAAGTAACATTCGAAGTAATGTCCAAACATTTGAACGTAATGCAATAAGACTATGTTGATGTGTACATGGTATACAATTTAATTCTTCTGTTGAATGACTACTATTGGAACGAAATGATTGTAATGAACGTAAATTTTGTGTATCACTAATAAAAAAAAAACAAGAAAATAAAAAAAAAAACAATATTTCATAAATGAAACAATTGAAATAAAATTTTACTCAGATTTTTCTTGAGATTTTTTATTATCAGGCATTAAAAGTTGATCAGTTAAAAAACATGAAGAAAATCCTGTTTGTTGTTCATCATTAGTTTTCATATGTTCATCTTTTATTTGTGTATTAATATAAAGTGTTGTTGACCAATTTGTATTTGGTGATGGATTAATATTTTCAAATCTTGCTCGTTTAACTTCTCGTATAGGATTTTCATTTGATATTGTTGTATTAACTACATTGGATACACTATGTTGGCGTTCATGTTTTGACATATGTCTATAAAGAAAATGTAATTATAGAAATATTCGAAAACATTTATTATAATACAACTTGAATATAAACATAAACTTTTCCATAAGTTATTTCAGATAGAGTTCGCTTAAAATATTATTTACACGCTTTTTTATTGAAATAGTATTTAATATAAAAAAAGAAGAAGACAAGTGTAGACGAAATTTTTTACTCAATTAATTCTTGTCTATCTAATTAAAAAAAGAAATCTGAGTATATAATCATGATCAATTTTCAATTTGTTTTAATTGAATATCGTATAACAAATGATACGTTTTCTATTTGATTTAATATCGTTTAGATAATAATTCTTTTTTAATTGATTGATAAAAATAGAATTTATAATTATAAGGGGAAAAGAAGAAAGAAGGATATAAAAAATTCAATTACAGATTATAGAAATCTTTTTTCGGCAAAAATAAGCGCGATGTAGAAGAAAAAATACCTCTCTACTCATCTGTTTTGATTTTTTCTTTCTGTATATAACTTAAATTATAAATATTTTATTTTGATGATAATCAAATATTTCATACCTAATATTAATTGTTGAATAGTTGCATTTCTGACATCGAATAACTCTATTGTTTAAATGACATCTCTAGAAATAAAAATAGTAAAAAAAGAATCTATGATGAGAATGTTGTTTTTTTTTGTTTTTACTATATGGCAATCATATTTTGATTTAAGTAATGTAGCATAGGAACAAAGATGACATTGTCGAACATTAACACCAAGTTCACCATGTTCTTGAAATAAGTGTTCACGAAAATTATTTATATCTTTAAATGTACGTGTACATTGACTACATATATGTAGTACTTTATTTGGTTCAATTAAATTGGGTCTTAATGTATAATACAAAAATAAAAAACAAAAAAAAATATGTTAGAATTAAATTAATAATGATCAACTTACGGAAGTTGTTTTTCTATGGTAAATGAATTCATGAATGAAAAAAAGGAAAAACCAGGTACTAGTTTTGAAGGATCAATAGATTAGAAATTTGCTACATCCTTCAATATATGCTTGTATGTACTACAATGGAAAAAAAAATGAAGAGTGTACATACATTGCATCATACATACAGTATAACGAATCTGATTTCTGGCATTTTGTGGACAAACATCCGCTTCTTTTCTTTTTTTTCTTTTTTTCGTCAGTATGATTAGCTTCGGCAAACGTGGCCAGACTAACCAATGTACTTATGCGTCCGAAGACGACGATAACGACGACCAATTTTACATAATTTCTTGCGCATTGTTTTATGTCAATAGACATGAGGACGACAGGTAGTGCAAGTGTGTATGTGTGTGTCATCGTTTACGTAACCTATTAAGGAAGAGCGACGGATTGTGGCAATATTGAGAGTAGATAGATGTATATATCTTTGTGTGTGTGTGTCAACGTTGTCTTTCGATTCTTCTTCTTTCTTCTTCGCTTACTCTCGCCTATAATTGTATGTAATTTGAATAACACATGTGACAATGATCAATAAGAACAATTTACGACACGACGAGATGTTGTAGAGAAGAAGAAAAAAAAAAGAAATCAGTTTTTAATCATCCTTTATTATATGATCATTATGAATAGTAAAAATCTAAGTTTATAATATAAAAATGATCATACCTTATCCGATGTCACAAAAAAAATAGATTGAACATCATTGATGGGTGATAAAAAGAAGAAAAAAAAACATTATTAAACGAGAGAAGAAAAATAAATGCATAATATATTTTTGACAAGTTTCGTAGAATACATTGATTTTTCTAATCCATAAGAGTTGGTTTATAAACAATGATCCTTTCAATATGTCTGAAATAGTGTGACAACTTTTTTCATCGATTAATAATTATTTTCTCTATTTGATTTACTACATATTTTGATTCTCAAATTGTATACTGTTTTCTTAATTAAATTAATATCAGTTTATGACATGCACTAGTTCATCTCATATGTTCCAAAAGGGTGGTGTGACATTAGGACTATTAAGAAGCCAATGGTCTTGATAAGTGAATGATGAATTTGAAAAATTAAGACGACAGTAGTCTTCAGACTATTGCACATGATTGTTTCACTATAGACTACTGACTTTCGAATAAGCTAAATTTGAACAGATTGAAATTCGCTATACAATATGGTTTATTTTTTGTCATGAATTGAAGCGACATGAACGTTAAAAAGTATCTTTAATCGATGGATTTAAATGTATAATAATACAAAATTAAAGACAAAAGTTCTCTTTGAAAGTTGTGGCAATTAGATTTATTGCTTGTTTCATACGACATAAAATGATTTTTTAAAAATTTAGGTAAATTGAAATAGATAGTTTTATGTAGAATTGAAAGATAAATTCTTTTTTTAATAAAAAAATTCTTTTTATTGGTAAAAAGGTTTGAAAATAATTTCAAAAATATTCGGAAAGTTCGTCTTTTTATGAGTCATTTGTTACAAATACGCAAGTAATCTATTCAAAACACATATTATCCATTTTTTTTTCTCTTGTTCTTAATGTTTTAATAGTTTGTGATATAATTAAATCAAACTAAAGAATTTCTTATGATTTAGTTTTTGTGTTTATATATATATAGAATATAATCAAGTGAAAAACTAGATGTTTCTATTCCTTTTATTATTATATGTCACTTGATGACAATAATAAAATGCTTTTAAATAGAATAGATCTGCTTCTATTTCAATTCCTTGAAAAGAAACTAGTCTATTCTGTGTATTTCTTATCATAATGGAACTTCCTGTTTCGAATAATAATCATGATTATGATTACTGTTGTTGACGACATTAGAATATGATGACTATATGAAAGGTAAAATATTACTAAAAGAATCTTGTTTTATTCTTAGAAACAACTTTATATTTGTGAATAGATAAATAATTTAGTATATTATAAGAATAATACATGAATTTAGAACTTGTTTTTCTTTCTTCGATCGTTTGCTTTTCGTCGTAGACATAAAAAGACCGACAACAACTTCTTGTTACATTGATTGAATTTTACATTAATTACGCACTAACATACATAACAGATCGAAAGACCGAGAAACATTGAGAGAGAGAGAAAAACTCATAAGCTATATTCTTCGCTTTGTTCATTTCTTGTTCACTATGCTAATTTGTGGTAGCGTCTTTTTCCGTTGTTGACTAGAATGCTAAAGTGATTAGGCTCAGAATTGTCTTTTATTATATATATATACATATCTTCCATCTTTCGTTTTATATTTTGTTTTAATATACTTGAAGATGTTTTTTCTCTATGTAAATATCAAAAGTCAATGCAAAGAAAAAAGTCCGATTGCGTAGTTAAGTTTCGATTGTGTGCTTAATGAAAAGTTGTGTTTTCTTTTTTTATAAATGCAAATAATTTAAATTAAGAAGCAACTATGGAATTCATATTTATAATTGATTAGATCTACAATCGTTCAGCACCCACGTAGTTTTCGAAAGAAAGAGAAAGAGAGACAGAGATTGAACGTTTCCTCGTCATCGCAGTATAGGCGGATGTAAGTGTATTAAAAAAGAAAAAAGAAAAACTTCATCTACATTTCCCGTTATTTCATGTTATTGTTATTTGTTTTTTTTTTTTCTGTAGTGTTCAATTACTATCATTGGAACACGACACTCTCTATACAATCTGTATTACTATTATTATTAATCTTCCTAGTTCCATAATCTACATTTATTATCCTTCCATTCATATGATGTGGCTTCTCATCTTATGGTGTATAATATTTTTAAGTCCAAATTTTTCTATGGCAATAATTAATGATGAATCAATAAATGATTTTTATATAAAAGATGCATGTCAAAATTTAGGTGATAAATGTCAACAAAATACTGATTGTTGTTCACATCTAATCTGTTATTTTAGTCAAGGTATATTTTATTTTATTTTTGTATTTTTATAATTATTGGAAAAAGTAAAATTTTCACTTAAAAATTAGATAAAAATCTTTGTTTACCAGTTGACAAACATATGAAACGTTATATGGAAGATTTTATTATTCCACCATATTATAATCCAAAAAATCATCTTTATCCATATGGTATTAGTATGCCACCATTTCCATTTTATAATGCATATAGGGAAAAACAATCAAAAGCATATCAAAGAAATAAAATGGGTAATTTTATATGAACTTTCATAATCTAATGTTTCTCAATAACAATTCAGAATACATAGTAAACATAAAATTTATTCTAGATTTGAATTTTGACATTTTCTTCCTTGCAAATATTACGAGTAGAAGTACTTAACATAACTTGAAACTTTGTATGAAAAGAAAAATCCATAATTTATTTTTCTAGGATTGCATGTTTTTCTACGGTTCTTAAGGTCACATTTCAGTAGACTTTGTTTTTTCATTTTCTAAAATAAGTCGTCAAAAGAATAACAGTTAGAAGAAAAATTACACATATTTTGAATTCATCAATCGATTGTATAATTGCAACAGAAAACTTAAAATTTCTTATTTAAAAAACTGTACAGAGTCCATTGATTTTTATATTGAGATTTTCTTAAGAACCTCTTTTATTTTTTATTTTCAGAATGGGATCATTGTCAATTTCATGAAGATTGTGGTGAAGGCAATTGTTGTTATGTTCATTTTCGATTTCGTAGTTTGCCGAAATCATTTTGTCGACCAAATCGAAATAATAAGAACGAACTTTGTGAACCTCTTACTAAATATCGTTCACTCAAAGATATACCAGCTTGGAAACAACATCAAAAACAACAACTTGATGATAAACAACATGAATCATATTCATTATCCAGCGCATATTTGGGCCAATAAATGCTATGAAATCATGCATTTATCATAAGATCACTACGTTGAACAAAAAAAGAAGGAGAAAAATGAATCCTCGAATAAAAAAGAAAATAATAATAATCAGAAAGAAAAAAAAAAAACGAATTCAATGTCATATACTTGTTTTTATTTTTATCATCAGTTTATCTCACATATAGAATATGTTCATTTATATGTCTAGATTCTTATTTTTCTTCTTCTAATTTGTATAAAAATCATAGCTTTCTATCATATCGTTTTATGCTAAAATATGAAGATATTTAGATGATCATCAAACATTTATTGAGAATAACTGTTCGCTTATATACATCTATATATATATATTTAAATCATAATTATAAATGAAACGTGCATTGACGACAGAGCAAAAAAGAAACGAAATCGACAAGGTACTTTTTTTCATCTACCTATCATGTTTGTTTTATGTCATCATCAATGGCAAAGTGCAATATACGAATGAGCCATTGGCAACTAAGTTTGAATGATTGATCGATGCACGGTGAATTAGCGTATTCAGTAGGAAGTATTTTACATACAGATGTGCGTGCTTGTTCATGGTGAGAGTAGGTCAAGCAAAACGAGAACGTAATAGAAGGTAAAAGAATCAAAGACAATATCAACGTTGTAATCATGACCGATAGGACTCGAGTTGCGCATCAATAATCACGTAAAATATGTTGAATAGCGAGTTATGCTCTCTCCTCATCGTTCTTGCCTTCAGTAGCCATCTTTCTATCTTACTCACTCTTTCTTTCTCTCTCTCTCTCTCTCTCTCTCTCTCCCTGCCTATAGAAATTATTATACAAAGCGTACATATACATAATATATTCGTGTTAATTTCATCAATAGCTAGGTAACATTAAAAAAAAGCAGGCGAACGAAGACTAACTATGGCTGATGCTGTTGCTGCTGCATATCCAAATGTGACATCATCTGGAAATCCTGAACAACAATTTGTTCAACATCAATATGCTTATCAAGCTCAAGTAAGTGGTGGAGGCGATCAATTTTATAATGGAGCTGGTGCTGTCGATGCACAACAACTGCCAGAAGGTGTCGAACAACAATTACCTTTAGGACAGGGTCAAGATGCTAATTATTCTCAATATTCACGTAGTGGAAATGATTTAGCTGCTGGTGCTGGTTTTGTGGATCCAAATAATCCTGGTATTATTCAACAATATGCAGGTGCTGCTGGGCAACTTGCACAACAAGGACCAAATGGTTATAAAATTAATTTTGATCCTAATCCACAAATTATTCGTAAACATGCTAATGATGCAGTAACATACAAACAAGAAGTAGCTGTACGATATTTACGTCCGCCAACACCACCACCACCTGGTCCTTTGATCATTAAAGAGGTTCGATTAAAAAAAAAGATTATATTTGAAAATTAGAAAAAATAAAATTCTTTTTTAAGGTACGAAATCCAGCATTACCTGCTGCTCCACCTATTGTTATTCGACAACGTCCACCTCGACCTGCTACACCACCACCACTTATTATTCGAGAACGACCACCACAACCACCACCTCAACTTGCTCCTAAAGTAGTTACTAAACCTTTACCAGCTCCACCACCACCACCACGACGTGTTATTATCGAACGAATGCCTCCATTACCTGCTAAACCTCAAAGGTATATTCTATTGTTTATCGATAAAATCATTTATATTATCATTTATTCTATATTATTTTTCTAGTATTATCGTTGAACGTTGGCTTCCATATAAACAACAAAAACGACGTGTTGTGTATCAAAAAGCACCGCCTGTTCAACAGCCAGCACCACAAAAGAATCTTATTATTCAATGGGAAGGTACACAAGCTCGAGTCGTCAAAGAATTTCGTAATTTGGGTATCATCAAAGCTGATCCAACTACTTATGTACAACAATATGGACCACAATTAAGACCTACACAAGGTTTACCAGATTTTATTAAAGGATTACCTACACCAAATCTTGGACCAGAATATGTAAGAAACCTGTTCATTAGCTTGAAAAATGCATAATTTGATCTTCTTTTCTTTTCTTGTTTTGTTTATAGATGGCAGGTATGAATCCTGATCAAGTCGATCCATCATTAGTAAGTGGCGTTGGTGGTTCATTAGGTGGTCAATTAGGGGGTTCAGTGGGTGGTTTTGATATGGGAGGTGGTCAAGGTCTTCTTGCTGCTGCACCAGAAGCCGCATTACCACTTGGTGGACAACCTGGATTCGTTCAAGATAATCTTCAATATGCATCTTTTGGAAATGTTGCCGGTCAAGGATCTGGTGACCAACAAAACTCATATGCTTATCAACAAACAGTCTATTCACAAGGAAGCACTGTTGAAGGTCAACAATATGCCGGTAAGTGAGACTTGATTTCACATACAATTTTCTAAAAATATGAATATGTTTAAGCCGACCAACAACAAGGTTTTGAACAACAAGGTCAAAAAGGCAGTGGTTTTGTACAAAATGTACAATATCAAGCAATGCCTCAATATGGTGTCAGTAGTTAATTAAAAACAAGAAAGAAAGGAAATTGAAGACGTGTCATTGAAAATGGTCAAGGAACTTTCGTTCGTTTTTTTCTTTTAGTATTGCGTTTCGCTTCACTGTCTTTCTTTCGCTTGTTCGTTTTATTCTTACTCTTTCTTTTCTCCTCTTTTGACATCATTATTATGTTTTTTATTCTATTAGTACGTTTTAAAAAAATGATGGCTATCTATCTACGCCTATAATACAATGCATATCTTAATTTAACCCCATCTGAAAATATAGAATAATGATCGACAAAAGAAAGACAAAATTATTATTGAATCAAGCCTAATTTTTATAATGAATAATAATTAGAAAATTTCTAATGAGGGAATATTTTTATCAATTGCAATAGTTGAGTAATTCAAGCAAATTATTGCTAATATGTAGCAGCACAAGGATTTTCAATCATCATTAATAAAATACACATGCTATCTTTTCTCATCATTCAGTTGCTCATTAGACTTGCTGGAAATAAAAGAATCAAGATACTTAGATCTGACCAAAAGTTTTTAATAAAGTTCCTCGCAATTTTACAAACTAGTTAACATTAAATAATTTGTTGCGTGAATGATTAGTAGAAGATCTTGTCTATAATAATATATATATATAATAACTGTATTCTCAGTTTAGTTCTAATGCTCTTTCAGATAAAATTCAAATCAAATAAAAAAAGAATTTTGAAAAATGGATAATGAACTCGATCGACACTACATTTACATTAATACAATGGGTTATTTGGTTTGAATCTGAATTTGAAAGCAAAAAAAAACACTCAATTTCCCTATTGAAATGGGGTAATTGCGAGTCTATAGATTTAATATGATATTAAATACAGTATACACCCTCTATTTTTATAGGGTATAGTATATTGTTTACATTCTTGAGTGAAGATATGTTGCTTGAATAATATTGAGTATAAGTAGTTAATGGTGCTGTGGTTATTATAAACGTATTTCGTTACTTCTTTTTTTTTAGTCGTGACATGTTTCTTGCATGATTTCGTAAGAGATACGTTACTATTTCTTCGTTTTTTATATTTTTATTGAATATTGTCCGAATTTTTGGTCACTTCTAAATATATACCAAATGATTTTCGAGTATATTTGAAAGTAGAATATTTCAACTGCATTTTGTTTTATAGAAATTAAAAAACTACTTATAACCTTTGTCTAATATAATTCATTCGATAGAATTTATATATTTTGCTTTAATGAAACTATTACATTTGAATTTAAGATCTATGATAATCTTTATTTTGTACTTCCTAGAAAATAAACATTCGGAAATACTGAGAACACACTAGAAGTCACCAAATTAACAACACAAGTATGCAGGACAGTTGTTTAATGCAGCTCATTAAATGCAAAATACTCTTTAGTGTCTCTTCTTAAAATACAATTCAATATTTAGAAAAAAAAAATAGATCTACTTCTAAAGGATGTTGAGAACTCTTAAATTTTTTCACGTGTTTAATTAAATATTTGACTTCGATAAATATAAACATAAGCATACTTTTTTAAATTTCCCATTAGCTTAAATCGAACAAAAAGCTTATACAAAAAAAGAACATCGAAACTAAAACAAAAATCATATCTCAATATACATAAGTATTTGTGCATTCTCAAATTCTTCTTAAAATTTTACATAAATAAAATTAAAAAAAACAACAAAAACATTGATCAAGAATTTAAAATCAACACTAAATAAACATGAAAACTGCAAGTCACCGAGAAAATTTTTTATTTGATAATATAAAATTTTTAAATATTCCATAAAACATTATAATAAGTATGTAAATATTGTATAAAAACCGTCCATGTATAATGAAATATTAATGAAGTTTGTGCTTTACGTATTTGATTTAAACAAATATGTACTAATTCTGCATTTGTTTCATAATCGTAAGTTAAATTCATTTGTATATTTGTAATAATTTGTTTATTATTCAATAAATCATTCATAAATTTCTGTGATAATTTATTCTGATTATCATTAGATAATTTTTCACATAAGTGTTTATGTAAATCTAATAGAATATTATCATTTAAATAAAATTGTGATTGTTTTATATGAAGTGTTTGATATAATTGATCAATAAAATAAAATAAAAATTCAATAATTATTGAACGATTTGATATTGTTATTAATGATGATGATAAAAACGAAGAAACATCAATACGATTTGAAATAAATTTATTTATATAATCAAACCATTGATTATAATTTTCATTTGAATTCAATAGATTTATTTCATGATTAAAATAATTTGGAAAAAAGTTTTTATTTATTTGTTCCGATAATTCTTTTAAAAAATGATTTATTAAATCCAAAATATTATTGTGATTACTAATAAAACATTAAAACAAAACCAAATAAAAAAAAAAAATTAAAAAGCTGTTAGCGCAATCCTTGCAAGATTAAAATGTGAAGCACGATATAATTGCTCTTGCTAATAAGAGGAGCTTTGACTGAATCCAATCGGGGTCCGAAAATTTAGAATCTGATGAGGACTCTATTCCTCTGAGAAATGTCTAGGGTGTACTAGTCATCATATACAGAAGAAAAACAGAGTAAAGTAACTCGTTTCTTCAGGACGACTATGTAATTCCAATTGGAAAATAATTATTGAGAGTATCAAAATACGGCTCGATCGGATCCGCATCCGAGAATTTTTTGGTGGACACTCACTTCGTTCCATTACTTTTCGTCCCATACACTATGTCCTTTTACAGTTTGTTTCTACTTCTTCTTTGATATGCTTAGCTAACTTGAACGAAAGACAAACACAAAAGAAAAGAAACACTCNAAAAAAAAATTAAAAAGCTGTTAGCGCAATCCTTGCAAGATTAAAATGTGAAGCACGATATAATTGCTCTTACTAATAAGAGGAGCTTTGACTAAATCCAATCTGGGTCCGAAAATTTAGAATCTGATGAGGACTCTATTCCTCTAAGAAATGTCTAGGGTGTACTAGTCATCATATACAGAAGAAAAACAAAGTAAAGTAACTCGTTTCTTCAGGACGACTATGCAATTCCAATTGGAAAATAATTATTGAGAGTATCAAAATACGGCTCGATCGGGTCCGCATCCGAGAATTTTGTGGTGGACACTCACTTCGTTCCATTACTTTTCGTCCCATACACTATGTCCTTTTACAGTTTGTTTCTACTTCTTCTTTGATATGCTTAGCTAACTTGAACGAAAGACAAACACAAAAGAAAAGAAACACTCACACTGAGATCTTGTCTATCACGTAAAGCTTTTCTCCTTTGCTGTTTAACAAGTGTTACTATTCGTACGATTCGATGGGTGATATTGAAATTTTGAAGAGTAAAAAAGGATTTTAGGTAGTCGACGAACGAGGTCTCAGTTTTTTGTTCAAACATGGAATATGTATGATCGTGTAATACAAAATTTGCACAGATCGAATAATTCGGTTGAAGGGTGGCATCGGGCATTGAATAATCGTGTATCGATCAAGCATCCTACTGTAACTAAACTGGCGAAGTGTATCTTACGAGAACAAACAAAATTTGAAATGAACATTGAACGAATTCGAGTGGGTCAAGAGTCAAAACAAAAAAAGAAGATCTATGTTGCTCTTAATTCACAATTGAAACGAATTGCTGCTTCTTATAATTTCGAATCTGTTGGGAGCTATCTGGCCCGTGTGGCTGCTAACGTGAAACTAAATTCTTGAACTGTTATTCATTCGTCACTATATTTTATATATTAAACGTAGAAGAGTATAGTACATGAGATTCTATATTATATAGAATCGTCACAAATGATTTGTTCAATGGGACGAAATGACTGGGCACGAAATGATAGGGTGTCAAATTTTTGATCCGACGGACTCTATTTAGAACATATTTCTTCACCATTCTTTTATGCGACTTCTTAGAAATTCAACAAAGAAATAGTTCATATATTATAACGAAACGTTATTCACGCACGGTCTGTAGAGATTCGAAATTTTTACTTCTATGCTTTAATACTCGTCTTTTTAGATAGTGTTTTACAAAAACAAAGAATTTACTTTGAAAATGGTAAACCATATTTTTCACAATAATTTAAAAAACAATGTTTAATTATTATACGTATTGAATATGTTTGAGAAAATAATTGTTGACATAACATATAAAAAAATAATGTTGATTCATTCATTAATTCAAATAAATTTTCTTCAATTAAATCAAAATTTATTTTCCATTTATGATTAGTAATAGAATCAGGTATAAGTAATAAAGATTTTTTTATGATTATATTCATATCATACTGTGATGGCCATTGACGTTTTGAATAACGATTTGGATGTATATAATAATTATCAATTAAAATTTTTGGCCAACGATGAAGTATAAATGCAAAGGAATATTGTTCATAATCAATATGAACAAAATCACTTGAAATTTTTTTATTATCAGATAAAAATATTGGAGAAAATGCATCAGAAATTTTGTCAGATTTTTCTTCTTGAATATTCGTTGAAGACATATCCTGGAAATATTTACATGATGGTAGACGTAAAGCAGCAAATATTAAATTGCTTTGAGATGAAGATAAACTATATAAAATATATCATATTATACATTTCTTTTTTAATTTAAAATAAATGTAAAAATATTAGCTTTTTAACGTTTATATCAAAATTTTACTAGTTCAATGGTCAATAAACGGAAATTGCAGATTCCCAACTATACAGAATCACTAGAGGTTTCTTATTATACCATTTAATGGAAGAAAATGTCTTGTATTACATTGTTAAAATTTATGTTGAATTTTTCTCAAAATATGATTTTCATTCTTGCCTTCTTTGTTTATCTCTGATTTCTCGATTATTTTTAACGCTAAAAACTCCGCTCTGCCGCTTAACAGAGTTGTACATTCGAATTTTATGTTTAATACTCGTTGAAATCTAACTGTTCTGAAATAGAACCTCTAGTTTTCTAATATTCTATTCGAAATTTTCACAAAAATACAAACTTCAAGAAAATTATGAAATTGGACTCTGTTAACTTGTAGCATCAGGTTTTGAATATATTTCAAAATCAATCTTGGCTTTCTAGTCTTTGAAATTGAGAATGTACAGACTAGAGAGCTGCGGATCCACGTTTATGTGGACTTAGACTCTGACTCGATTGGGTTCAAACCCGAGGTTTTTCCCATCAATACTTGTCATCCTTCGTGTACATGAACAAGTAAACGATCAGAGTTTTAGGGATTTATTCGCTACTCTCAGAAAAAAAACGCGGCGTGCAATTATATCTTGTTGCTATATTTCTCATCTGGGGAGCAGCGGATTCACAAAAGTGTGTAACCAGGTCTGACAAAAAATAAAATGTGAGATCGGGACCCCAAAACAGACATAAAATTGTGGATCCGGACTCGGAATCGGCCGGGTCCAGATCCGAAAGGATCCACAGGTCCCTAGTACGGACACCTATGGCTCAACCATTAACTTTCAGCTGACACCTCATAGATTTAATGTCAATTATCGCTTCATGGTAATTAATCTTCAGACTTGAAATAACGATTGAATGTAACGTTTGATGTATTTTTTTTTTCGCAAATATTAATGAATCTTACAAGTGAGTACTTGAAAGAGAATTTTTGTTTTATTATGATTGTAAAATTTAGTCTGTTAGAAGTGTCAAAAAACATGAGAAGAAATTCTAATAGTTTCTCTTCTTTGAAAATTTGACAAAGATGAATTTAATTCTTGTCTTTAAATGATTGATGATTTTTTTCTAAACTAAAAATGAAATTTAATTTCAATACTCATTTTTAAAAAATATCTTATTTTAAAGAAAAGATAATGAAACTTTTTTTATTTACTTCTCCTTATTCGATTGATTATTCGTTTGTTCTTTGAGAAGACAGGTAATATGACGTCCATCTCCTTTTAAAAACTGTTGAACAATATTACATGTTTGATTAACAAGTATTAATGTATTAAACCATTGTTGAATTAAATTTGATGATAAATAAGAAACATTGTCTTCTGAATAATAGGAAATAAATGGCAGAAATTCTTTTGAAATATTTTCTTGATTAATATGAATAAATCCTGTTTGAAATGAATCATTTGATGTAAATATACATAGTGGTTCATATTCCACAGATGTTTTATTTGTGTTTGTTGTTTGATTATTTTCTAATGTAATAACAACATGAGTACGATCCAATGGAATAGATTTTTGTTTATATTCATCATCATTAGGTTCAATTTGGTAATAAGTTAATGGTATAAAATAACATTTTGAACGTAATTGTTCATGAATTTTAAATGAATTATTTGTATTTATGAATAAATTAGGTAAAATTGATTCAGGTGATGATATTATAAATAAATTTAAATCATCAATTAATAATTGATTAATACGATTCGATGGATTAATAATTGTTGATGATGAAAAATGTTGTTTAAATGTTTGTTTTATTTTTGAATTTTTTAAACGATTTTGATAATCTTCTAAATAAAAATTTAATTGAAATTTTTTTATTACATTTAAAAATTCACGATTAGATTTTATTGCTAAAATATGTGAAAGTTGTTCATTATCATTAGTTAAATTATGTTCTTGTATTAATTGTGATTGATTAATATTCGTATGATTTAATGATATTGATTCAAGAATAGGTAATGAATTAATCCATTGATTAATATTAGTTGTATTTAGTTTTTTATTCGATTGATTTTTATTATCGGATACATTTATGACTATATTTTCTATTGATACTAAATAATGATTATTATTTGATACAATTCGATCAAATGTTGGAAAATATTTTTCATCGATTGAACATGATAATGATGAAAGTGAATTTGTTAATGAATGAGATGTACATAGACAACAGAAAATTTTTTTATTTTTATTGGTTTTTTTAAATTTTCTATTAGATAATTTTGTTGAATTATGTCCCATTTGATTTACATCTAAAATAGATTTTGTTATTTACTAAAAAGGTTTGTTTTAAATATATAGTTTGTTGGTCAATGATTATAGTTGAAAATTAATACTACTGACCGAGATACAAAAAAAAAAAAAAAAGCTTATCTATTATTCTTGTTTGAATGTACAAACAAGACGACAAAAGAGAATAAGAAATGTCATGAGCTCACACAGAGTTTGCTCGATTGAATAGAATTCTTTTTTTTTTTCTTCTTCTTTGTGTGAGATCAAATTTCGCTGCGTGTGGCGACGGAAAAAGATCATTATTGTGAAAAATAGACAGAGACGGAAATGAACGATTCAATACTCATTGACCAAGAGAATGGGAGGAGAAGATTGAATTTCTGTGTCGTTGCTTTAATTCTTTATACTTATCTTCATGTTCCATCCGATCTGACATTGATAAAATTCTTCGAAAAGAATTTGTGTTTAGATGAACATAGGACATCACGTAAATGAATAGTTTCGCATGTTTATGTGCCCTTGTGATTAGTCTCCGCCTATTTAATTGTTCTTTTGTATCACGAACTCTTTTTTCTTTTTTTTTTATCCTCCTGTCTATACTTGAAATATAGTACTCAACATTGACTTTTAACTAATGAACTTTATATATAACAAAAGACGAAGATGGATTCAATATCAATTCATTTAAATCTGTCCGATGAATTTGAGTTACGTCTACTCTACACATCTTTTACTTATTATTGGATGCATATGAAGACGAAGATCGAATTGCAGTGATTAAAATTGAATAAAACATTAAAAAATGAGAAAAAAAAGATCTTGGATGAATGATGACGTGATGAAACAAGCAGAAAAAAAAGCGAGATAGTTAGATCATCACCAATTCCCTAGTGTTGAAAAGTGTCATTATCAGTGAAGCTAGGAGCTGATTGCCGCATATAAGAATATATAGTGATGATGAAAAAAAAAAGAGAAAGAAGAGTAATCGATTGTCGATAAGATGTCTAGAATACTAATAAGAATTTATTCCGGATGATATAAGAAAGAAAAAAGTCATTTGTTTTTTTTTCACGAATAGAAACAAAACCATACAGTTTTCTATTATTGAATATACAGCAAAAGAACAGTGTCACTGTCTAATCTATCAAACAAACAAGCAACACACTGATGAAATGGAAAAGAAAGAGAAGGCAAAGAAGCTTCAATCATATGATCCGTTAGACAGACACAAAGTAATACGATAAAACGATTACACATTAACCGATAGTGTGTGTCTGTACGGATGTTTACACAAAAAAGAATTACAAATCTAAATAAACAAACTTAGAAAGTGCAATCGGACGATTGATCAAAGTCATCTTAATATAATCAGTTTTAAATATGTCTAGTCTGAACATTTGGAAGGATTTCTTTGTTTAATATAGAAAGAAAAAAATATATATATACATATATATATATTTTATAACATATGTTTTTCTTCTATCATTACTCTATTGCTAAGTCAATAATTGAATTCAGTTGTCTTGTATAGAATTGATTGGTAGCATGCATTGTCTAGGTTCAATAAAAGATGACACTAGAGATTGGATGTTAGAAACAAAAATATTCATGTCGGAATAGTTACAACAATCTTTGATGTTTTTTGTATATCTCCTAGAGACATCAATAACATTTTAACATATGCTATTTGCATTTCATCTCAGCACTGTACTCAAGAGTATGTACCAATATGGCGGCGGTTAAGTGATCATCAATTCAATATGTATGTGAACATACAAGAGAGTCTACTTCACCACTAGTCTCCGTTCTGTTGAATGCATAATACAACCGCTAATTGAATTGCCATCAGAATTGCTGACCGACTTGTATGACTGGATAGAAGAGATGAATATATAAGTACAGAGAACGATAGAAAGGAAGAAAAGAGGATGATAAAGCACGTTCCATCAACTAACTGGACAGAGTAGTGTCTCGACATCGACCAACACACAAATATCTTTTGAGCTTATGTGAGAAGGCCAACTTGACCTTCATACATTCTCTCGTCTAGTTGATAAAGCTATTCATTCAATATTATTTACAACTTATAGTCGGACGCAACAATATGACAATTTTTTTAAACAGACAACATTATTATCTTTTTTTACTTATTACCTCATGTTATTTGTTTCTATTCATCAATGCTAATAATGATACTGATCATCATTCCAATGAGACAATTGAAGAATTTAATACAACTGTTATTAGTCTAACAACAATCGATGATATTTTAATTGATGATAATAAAAATGTTTCAATTGAAATCAATGATGTTTCATCATCTGCAACATTTATTTATTCTACTCTATTGTCAACATCAGTTCCATTAGAACTAATAACTAATGTTAACGTAACAGAATTAAATACAACTGATAACGAAGACAACGATTTAACAACAACAATATTAACACAAATTAATGAAACACAAGCTGCTTCAAAGGAAAAAACTGAAGAACAGACTACAATTGTTTCTAATATATCTTGTGTATTATCTAAACATAATATTACAGAAAAAAATGGTAGAAAAAAAAAAGAATTTTTCTTTTATATATGTATATTTCATTACTTAGGTACAAATACAGCAGGATGTAATAATGAAACTATGAACGTTCCAATTTCAAATAATACAGTGGCATTTAACAATGAGACAGAATTTATTAGTACAATCGAGAACGACGATATTAGTACGACAACAGAAAAAAATGATATTTCTACTGAAACATCGACTGAAAATATTACTTTCGTTACAAATGAAAATACTTCTACTGACTCTGATATGAATAGTTCTACAACACAAGAATTACAACATACTATGACAGAAAAATCAGAAAGTACGACAACAGAAGAGTTAGAAAGTACTACAACTGAAGATTTAGAAGATACTACAATAGAATTAATTGAAACTACTACTCAAACTTATATAACAACCGTAAAATCTGCTTTATGTGTTGATAATAAATTTGAATGTTGTCCTGATGGAAAAACATCAGCAAAAGTAATAGAATAGTCATGATGAAAAATGATTTTTATATTTTTCTTATATTTCATAGGGACGTGAATTTGAAGGATGTAATACAACAGAAAAATGGATTTCACCAATAACAAAACAATCATTACAAAGTAATGAGAATAACTTTTTTTAGTACAAAAGAAAAATATCATCTATTTCTATTTTTAAAGCTGTATGTGAATTGGAAAAAGAAGCTGGTAGTTGTAGTAAATATGTTAATATGTGGGCATATGATCGTCAACAAGGTAAATGTATAAGATTTTGGTATGGAAGTTGTGAAGGAAATGGAAATCGATTTGAAACTGAACAACAATGTCAAGAAACATGTATTAGTCCAAAAGGAATTGGTAAAGAAAAAGAATTATTTTATTTATATTAAAACAAAAAATTGTTTTCTTTCTTTTTAAATCTTGAATAGAAGTTTGTTTATTACCAAAAATAACTGGACCATGTCATTCAGCTAGTAATCGTTATTATTATGATCGAGATAAAAAAGAATGTCAACAATTTCATTATGGTGGCTGTAATGGAAATGCAAATAATTATGAAACTATTGAAAAATGTCAATCAACATGTGTAAAGGAAACTGTTGGTAAGGATTTATTTCATCGAAATTAAAAATCGAAGAAGATAAACAATTGTTTCCCTCGACTAAAGGAGAAGATTATATAAAATCAAACGAATTTGTGTGTTTCCTTGCACATTTACGCATATATTTTTGGGAATCTAGAAGAGCTGTGCGAAACGATGTTTTTCTCATGTTAGCAATTCAGTCGATGAGGTGTGTTTGCCACATTGGTTTTGACCAATCAGATGATTCTGCTGTCTAACTGTCATCCAATAAGATTTTTGCAGCTTTGAAATTCAGTTAATCAGATGTGATATGCAGGCGTATGGATATGCGAATGATTGATTAAATAGATGAAGAGAAGAAACATACAACCACAGTGGTGGATTTGAAAGGTGGGCACTGGCGGCTATCACTTCCTTTCTTCATCGAAGTGCTCCTATCATAAAATACTGTACGGTCATGCACATCAGTATCTACATTCGGACTGATACTTTATGAATGGTTTGATATTAGTGTGAATTGGGCTTGTAAAATAGTACATTATACAGAAAGAGTTGAACATTTAGTTAAGGGTCACGTGAGCCCCAACGACAAGCGTTATTTACTTGTATTTGATTATAGATCAATGTACTCAACCTGTTGACGTTGGTCCATGTAAAGGAGAATTTTCTCGATTTTATTATGATATTATAACTGGACAATGTCGATCATTTATGTATGGTGGTTGTAAAAAGAATAAAAATAATTTTGCAACATTAAAAGATTGTTTAAAAACATGTGTTGAACCAAGACAAAAAGGTACAAATGAAAAGACAAGCATAATATTTTACTTTGAATATTTTGATTATTATTTTAAAGATATTTGTTTGCAACCAAAAGTTATTGGTACATGTCAAGAACGTCGACCAACTTGGTATTTTGATATGATTGAACGTGAATGTAAATTATTTCAATATTCAGGTAAAATCAAGCTCTAGAATTTAACAAGTTTAGAAGAAATTTATATGAAATTTTTTGTATTATCAGAAAAAAACAGAATTTGTTGAGTAAACTATTTTGTATATCAAAAGTTTTTATTCTTGGATATTGGACAAGTAAGAACTCTTGATAAGTAAATTAAGTGTGATAGAATTCGGTATATAAATATACTTAATTTGTCAAGTGCTTTAAATCAATAAAGGATATTTAACGTATGAATTTGAGAAGTGAATTGAATTATTTTAAAATGTCTCTATTTATTATACCTCAGTTAATTTCTTTCTTATTTTATTAGGTTGTAAAGGAAATCATAATCAGTTCTCTACAAAAGAAGAATGTGATCTCTCATGTTCATCATTAAAAACATCGGCAACATGTATGCTAAACAAAACACAAAAATATTCTTTCGACAATATTCTTTTTTTTCTTTTTAATTAGTAACAAATGATATAAAAGCTGTTTGTAGTTTATCAATGGTACGTGGTAATTGTGATCAACAAATATCTCGTTGGTATTATAATCCAGCTGATCAATATTGTCATTCATTTCAATATACTGGTTGTCGTAAGTTTCTTGTTTAAAATTAATTTTCAACAATTTTCAACTTCAATTTATATAGATGGTAATGCTAATTCATTTGAAATTGAACAAGATTGCCGAGAAATATGTCACGCAAGAGAAAAAGGTTATTAAAAAAAAAAAAACTTTTATTATTTCAAAATTCAATAACTTTTCTTTTCTTTTCTTTTTAGATATCTGTACACTTGAAAAAGATTCTGGTTCATGTGATCAATATAAAATCATGTGGTATTATGATTCATCAAGTGGACAATGTAAAAATTTTTATTATGGTTCATGTGGTGGAAATGCAAATCGTTTTGTAACTGAACAAGAATGTCAATTACGTTGTTTAATTAAAACTGGTTTGAAAAAAAATAAAACAAAGGATCTTGTCGAATTTTAGTGATCTATCTTGATTCAAGATACCATAAATTTAGTTTTGTAGAGTAATCTGTGGAGCATCGAATGGTATATAAGAAATCAAGTTTTTCTGAAATTTTCATGTTCTAAGATAAATTTATACAAATTTAGTTTTTAAACTTCATTTGATACATTTAAAGATACTCTTTAATTTTTCCATAATTATTAGTTTTCATCGTTGCTTTCTTCATACTTATAATTGGTCCTTTTTCTTGAGTCTATGCTATTTCTTGACTATATGATGTTCCATTGTATTTCATGCTGTGGCACAGAACATGTAAGTATTAACCTGAAACTTTTTCACAAATTGCACATAGTCAAGATCTATATATTTCTCACGTAACATCTTTCAAAACAGCTGGGAATCATTGTTAATTAGCAAGATTGTCTCCTAGAATAGTCTATTTTCACATATGAAGGTACCAGTATACTGACGGTATTTTAATAATACTCAACGTTCGTATTAAAAATTTTAATAGGTCAATAATCAGCACAGTATTATCGATGGACTGATATAAATAACTCCATCATAAATGGAAAAATTTTGAGCCTTCAAACCCGTAGAGGAGGTATGGAGATACAGGAAAATTAAATTCTTGAAATAGAGAATATCGTCAATATACAAACGTCTTTATATAGGAAACAAGGTTATTATGCGAGACTATCTTGCAAGTTGACAATTAGTCGCTACTCTTGCGAAAGATATTATGTGTAAAATATATAGGTCTTGGTAGTGTGCAATTTTTGAGAAAATTTCTTGTTCTGTGGTATTGAGTTGAGCATACTAGAATATAATATAGAGAAAAAATAATATAGACCTAAGACAAGAGATCATTTTAAGTATGGAGAAAGTAACGATAAAATCTATCGATTATAGGAAATTGAGAAGCACCTTTAACTGTATCGAATGAAGTTTAAAACCAAAATTTGCCTAAGTTTATATTAGCACATGAAAATTTGAGAAAAACTTCATTTATTATATACCATTCGATGCGTCACAAATTGTTCCACAAAACTGTATATATGATATCTTGATTCAAGACAGGTCACTAAATCCATCAAGATTTTTTTTTTTCATTTGATTAAATAAATTATTCAATAAATTTTTATCTAGGAAACTCTAGTTGTTTTCAACAAGTTGATCAAGGTTATACTTGTAATGATACAAAGTTAGATAAAAATCAAACAAAAAAACCCATATTAAAATTTTTTTATGATCAACAATTAAAAAAATGTTCATCATTTCTTTATCATGGTTGTGGAGGAAATGAAAATCGATTTGATGAAGAAAATCAATGTGTTGAAAAATGTGCTACTGATATAACAATTGGTCAACAAGGTAAAAGAAAATATTTATGTTTTACAAAAATAAGAAAATTTTAAATCAAGGTTGTGGATCAAATATGATTCGTTGTAATATTCAATGTAGATTTGGTTTTGAAAGAGATCCAAATGGTTGTGAAATATGTCGTTGTTTTGAACCTTGTCAAGTAAGCAAAAGCAAAACTTATCAATTAAAAGAATTATTTTTTTTTTATTTTTAGAGACAACAATGTCCAACTGGTTATGAATGTATTATTATTCCAGAGCAAACTCAATGTTTACAAGCACCATGTCCTGTTCCGAGAGTTGAATGTCAACCGAGTATGGAATAAACGAAATATTCTTAATTAAGAAATTCTTTGACAATTTATTGTTTTTAGTTAGTTTTGATCAAATGGCTCGTTCAAGTGGAGGTTAGTCAATATGATAATGTTATCTGTAGGATAATCCAGGAAAATAAATAATGATAATCAGCATGCTTTAAAATATTTTCGTACTTTTAATAGAATATGATAGTAGAATGTAGTTTCTCTTTAAATCAGTACATACTTAGTGTTACGTAGAAATACAAAACAGTGATCGATGTAGAATGTTGATAACAAGTTGATGAAGGCCATCAAACAAAACAAAAAGGAAAACTTTCTATTACTACAAACAAGACCTTTAAATAGGCTGTCCGTCTCAAAATTTATTTCATTTTTTCAAAGAAGATTTTCCACGTAAGAGAACAGAACAAATTTGATTTTAACTGATTTTAGTTTAAGTTTTCGTCAAAATTTCCTAAATGAATGTTGCACATGGCATCTGATGACAATTAGAAATCTTTATTATGCAAACTTTTTAGAACTATCATTTAGCTAATAAATAAAAATCAAAGCGATTGTTTAGTTGAATGACACTCACGGGCGCATCCAGGGGGAGGGGGTGCACAAGGTGCCCGGGTACTCCGCTTGGCCAAAGAATATCTGGAAAGGGGTACGTGCAAAAAAAAATCTTTTTGAGAAACAAAAATTTATTTTTCTACTCGAGTGCGCCCCTCATAATGTGTCGGACACCCCCTCTTGGAAAATTCATGTCTGCGCCACTTATGGCACTCTTCATTTACATACGAGACCAAGCATACTATCAATTGCATTAAGTGACATGAGTATTACTGAAATCAATAGCATAAATAAAAATACGAGCCGATCTAACTTTTTGAAATCGATCAGCAGATATTTTACTTGTGAATGTTTATGTAATGAATGATAGCCTTCAAGAATTTTAAATACGTGCGAACACATTTTATTCATTCAATTCAATAAGTAATTCAACTTATCGCTCATGCGAGATTTTTTTAAGCATTAAGATCGTCCGATCGTATTCAACTCGTGAATACCATAATAATAAACTTTTTACAATGTTCTATTTAGTGACTGTAGTAATTACGGAATTCTATCATATAGAAATCTTTTTTGTAAAGGAAATATACTTTTAACAGTACTATTCTGAACTGAACCAGGCCGGGGCATAATAAACTAGTCGGATCATCAAAAAGTCATCCGATTTGAAGACCTTGTACAAACGAATATATCGTTTCTATTTGTCTATTTAATTAAAATAGGTATTAAACCAATAATTGAAAATTCTATTACACACATATTTTCACAATTTGATGCTAATGTAACAGTGCCATGTATTTTACGACAAGGTTATCCAACACCAGTTATTTACTGGTTTGTAATGATGAATGAAATAGATTTTCTATTGGATTCATTTATGATTTTTATATTAGGTATAAAGAACGACAACAATTACAAGTACATGATTCAATGAGTAGTGGTATAATAGTACGAAAAATTGAACGATTACCAGATCAATCATTATTAATAAGAAAAGTAACACTTGAAGATCAAGGTCTTTATACATGCAGAGCAATTAATGATTTTGGACAAGATATAAAAGATGTACAACTTGAAATTTTTGGTATGATTTTATTTTAATTGAGAGAGTGTGTTTTTCAAGATTAAGAAAAACAAAACAATCTTTTTCTATTAGATTCAATTAAAGTTGATATCTATCCAATTAATCGCATTTATCAGCTTGGTTTTACAGCTAAACTTCAATGTCGTGCTACAGGTCAAATAGAATTTTAATTCTTTTTTGTTTTTAAATATTTAAAAAATGTCATCTGATTAAAATAGGTTATCCATTACCACGTATAACTTGGATGCGTAATAGTGTACCATTACTTAATACAACTCGTATAACACTTCAAAATGATGGATCATTAATTATTCATCCATATAAACGAGAAGATGCAGGTATAATTTATCAAATACTTGTTTTGTTCAATTACTGAAATATGTGATATCTTTAATCTCAGCAATTCAATAGTAAAAATTTCTCAAAATAGATTTAGAGTTTTCGTATCTATCTGATGATTTACCGGTTTCAGTTCCACATGATATTTTGAGAACTAAACTGGAACCACCAAACTCTACTTACAGCACTAGTCAACAATACATGGCTAATGTATTTTTGATGGAAGTCGGTCAGTTGCTCGGGGATATAGATTTGAGGGAAGTGGCTTTAGGTGTGGATGTAGCTATGATTGATGTAAGTATTAGAGAGCTGCGGATTTCTATTTTGGTGGACCCGAATCTAACTGGAGTTAGGTCTAGAATCACGCACAGCTTCGTAGTGTGTACGAATGTCATTGATAGTCTAGATCTTCTCTTCATTCACATCCATATTCAACCTTTTTTGATGTTTTTCGAAGATAAAATACATTAAACTCAAATTGAAATAGTTGTTTGACTAACCAATGATATTCTCTATCAAGTAGAATTCATACTGAAATTTCATAGAAAGACTATCAGATGAAGGTTTAACAAAAAACACATTAGTTTTCAGGCCTTAGAAAACCTGCTAAGAATGCCATCTTCAAGAGCATACAATTCTGAACAAAATGAGTCGTAATCGCATCTCCTACGATATTGTCTTAAAATGTTATAAACACCACACAAGATAAACAAATTGCGATTTTTAGCAATACTATGATAAGTTTCGCTTTGTGACACTTATAACTTTTTAAGGGAAGACCCAAATAAATGCGGTAATCATCTATTTTATTCCGAATCTTATGTTCTTTAAAATGGCACTCTTAACAGTCTTTTGAGATCTGAAAACTACTGCCTAATTTTGCAGAAATCTTTCTCGCACAGTCCATCAATGAAATTCCGGTATGTATTGCATTTAATGGAGAATTTCATCGGCTATTCAAAACATTATTTGAATTTGAGTTGAATACTTCTTATCTTAGAAAAAAAATCAAAATCAAAACTTATTGAATTCTACTAATTTTCCTTCATATTAAATCTATTATTATTAATTTTCTTATATTTTTTTTTTCAAGGTCCTTATGTATGTAATGCAACAAATAAAAAAGAAAGTGTAACACAAGTTGCATATTTAGAAGTCAAAGGTAACAAAATAAAATTCAAATTTTTGTTCTGTATAATTCAATTATTTTTAGAAACACGTATTGAACCAATCTGTGAAGATCAACCAACATTTGCCAATTGTGAACTTGTTCTTCGACATAATTTTTGTGATGTATACTTTGATTATTGTTGTCGTACATGTTCTCAACATGGACAATATTCATCAGAAAAATCGATTAAACCACGAAATCGTCGACATGTGTTTTTTTAAATAAAATGTACATTTCAAAAGCAAAAATCAATGAAACAACAAGTTATTTCTTTCTCTCTTTCGTTTTCTAATATTGTTTAGTCGTTTTTTTTTTCATATTCATTATCATATAAATTAATCGTTTCTTCTTTTTTTTTTTTTAATGTTATTAGTTTTTTTTTCACACACACTCTCAAACACAGAAACAAAAAAAAAACGTCATACACATAAAAAGAAACTTATATTAAATAAAAGAAAACCTTGATGGCTTAGAATTCAATTAATTTATATGTTTTGGTTTTTCTTTTCTCTTCTATAAATTATTTTCTTCATCAATCTGTTCAAGATAACATGTTTCTGTATTACCATTCATAACATCACCAATTGTTTTATTATCAATTTGTTCATATTGATAACGTTTACGTGGATAACCCCATAATAATTCAAATTGATCAGGTACATTTGAATTTGTCCAAGCAAATTCAAATAAAAGTTTCGCCGAATCTGAACGACGAAAACGACGACGTATTGGTTCATTTGCTGGTAAACGTATTGATACTTGTATTATATCAGTTTCGGTTGGTGATGGTTCATCGGGAAATGTTTGTTTAATACGATCACGAAATTCAGCAAATTTCTAAAACGAAAAATTAATTTTTTCATTGGTGACAAAAAAAGAATAGCTGACTTGAAGTTTTCTTTCTTTTTCTTCTTGTAATCGACGTTGATCTTCTTCTAATTTACGTCGTTCATTTTCTTCACGTAAACGACGTTCAGCCTTAATTTACAAATGAAAAATTAGAAAAACGTTTTCTTTTCCTTTTTTGAAACAGCAAACCTTTTCTTTATCAGCCCGAACAGAATCTAAATAAGCAGCATTTTGTTCTTCTAAAAGACGATCACGTGAACTACTTGTATTTCTTAGTTCACTAAAGCAAAAACAAAAAAGTATTTTTAACTATCGAAGTTTTTTTTCTTCTCGTTGTAGTAATTTACCGATTATATTGTAATGCATCATCAGCATGTTGAACACCATTAATAATTTCAGCTAAAAATTCATCGGCATCTAAACAAATAATTTTGAAATGATGGTTTATTCTTTTTCATTTTGATTTTGTATTTACAATTATATCGATCAAGTTTAAGTTGAACAATTTGTTGCGAACCATGATGTGCAATAATACAAAAACAAGGAAATGAATTAGCACGTAATTGTCGACTAGCTGAAAAATCCAAAGAATATAATTAAACACGAAAAGAAAAACAAACAAACAAGAAAAACTTACCTTGAGCTCCTTCTTGAGTATCATTACTTGTACTCCATAAAAGATGAGGGCCAATAGTTAATCGTAAAGCATCTTCACAAAGTACTTCTCTGAAGAACAATAGAACGACTAATGATATATATATACAGTGGGGGCCAATTGAATTTCCCCCTTTGTTTTTTTTTTGTTTTTTATTACTATACTTCTTTTGTTTATTAACCCACTATATTTATATATAGGGAGAAAGCCCGGAACGCGCTGCATCTTTTGGTATATTTATGCTGAACACCAAATGCATTTTTAAGTGTAAAAAGTGTATTAGACAAAAAATTAACATTTTTTTTACTACAAAGTGTCCATAATTTTGTAAGGTTTTTTTATTTCGCACATATCTCGGGTTAGGTAAATGATAAAACCTTGAATTCTTTTCCAAAAGATGCGTCGTGAAAAGCTCTATAAAAGTTGTATGGTTAAATGCCTTTTTACCTTTTCTAATGTTTTTTCTTATACTTGAAATGAACAACTTACACGACAGGGCCACTTGCCACCATACTGAAAATGTTGGAAGATTTTTTTGTTCTGCATATATCTCGACTTGAGAAAGCGGTATAATATTGATTTTTTCTTTAAAAGATG